CCCGGGCTTCCTTGCAGGCCTGAGCCTCATACAGGACTGGTGGTACCCCCTTATCCACGGCCCTGGTCAGTTATTTAGTCAAGGTTTATAATGGACCAAACAAAAATATATTCAGTACATCTCTGCAACACATTTCCACTTTTTTCCAATTTTTCAGCCCTGCCCAGTTCTCCCCTGCTGGACTACAGATCACCTCCCTACTCTATAGTTCTAAAGTTTATGAGGTGAGAACTGGTCAGGGCTGACAACACTGCTTGAGACTTCATTGCAGCAGAGGCAGTGTTGACAGCTCATTATAGAAAATCTAGTAGATGAACAGATATTTTTCTGTACTTGTAGATTTAAAAGAAACTGAAAAAGTGGGGAAATGGCATGTATTGCAGAGACGTGCTGCATATGTTTTTTATATTGCTCAGTTACATTATATTACATGTGGGCCAAATTTAATTATTACATTCTCCGTTGTGCTTCCTGTTTTGGGGTGCTATACAATGACTGCGCTTTACCAATCCATTTTTCAATGCAAGTCTATGAAGCTGTCCATATACCACTAGAATGTAATTCATGCAGAATTTTGAAAAATCGTTTGTCAGAGCATTCGTTAATACCATTATGGACTTGGACAAAGTTTGTATGAAGCCCTGAAAATATTATGTTTGATTGCCATGCCATTGTTTCAGAATCTACGTTCCTGTTTGGGATGCACTTGCATATTAGATTAAGTGTGATTTTTCCCAAATGAAAACCAGTTGGGATTTATTTTGTTGCAGAGAATGTTTCCATCCTATTCCTTAAATTTTTCTAATCACTGCAGTCAAAAACTATTCTCAATTTAACTTTAAACTCTAACTTTAGAAATTGAACACAATTTCAAAAAACAATCTTTTTCTAACAAAATTTCACTCAGATATGACCAGCTTAAAACTGCTGGTGCCAAATGTCAGAATACCTGGACTGTTTGGATGACACTTTTCAGCCCAGTTACTTTGACAAAAGAGGATTGAGTATTTTTTGAGCTAGCATCCCTACCCACTATTAACTTGGTCATAGAGTAATAATGTTTTTTTTTTGTTCAACCAGTGGGTTGGAAATGGCTCAAATCCCCCATCCACACATTTGAGATGGATGGGGAAATCCTCCCACTGTGCTATTGTGTTCTGACAGCGGGGAGACTTCCTTGCCGTCAGATTACACTGATCAATGCTGCTGGTTATAGCGGTGGTACTGATCATTGGGGGTAAAAAAACCCAACAGGTTGGTTCGTCGGTAGATCAACTTCTGTACAACCAGCCTGCCCATACATGAATTGAAATTTGTCTGGTCCCTGCTGAACCAGACAAATTTCAATCCATTTATGGCCACTCTTAGTATTTCAGCCAATTCCTCCACATAGGCTGAAATTCCAACAGTTTATGGCTAGCATAAAGCGGAACTTTATCCATAACAACTTGACAAAAAAATAATGTTCTTTAGCAAGTAACATACATTCCACATTAATAATTATGCTACCAATATGAGTGTGTGCTATAAATTGCCTCCAACATTGATCTTGTTTCTTCTCACTGAAGACTGCCATTTTGCTGAAGCCCAGAGTCCCTTGGGAGCATTAAATCGTTAGGCTGTCAGCAGATCGGCCTCTACAAATTCGGCACGGTGCTGAAAAATTGAGAACAACTGAGCATGTGCAGAGCAGGGTGAGTGCAGTACTGGATTTTAAACAGTATAGGCACTTATTTTTAATGTTTTACATAAAAAACACAAACAGAACGGACGTCCACGCCTAGCGCATTATCTTTGGACACTTTATTGACCATTGGCCTACGCTATGAATGCCTCTATCCATTTCGGAGTATAAGAGTGTCACGTTTTTCCTTTTTATTTATCTTAATGTTTTACAGCTATACCTGCAAAAGGGACCTGCCTGAAGTTATTTAGCAGGCCTTCATTGTCTGACAAAATTTCTACTTTAAAGGCCCGTACACATGATCAGAAAATCATAGGAAATATACGGCTTTCAAAATGATCGTACGATAATCTGATTGTCAGTACACAGCTTTAGAGAGCCGATCAGGACAGGTTGTGTGAAATTATCTAATGGGACAAGCACGAACATTTTTATTGTATGATCCCAGTTAGTATGATTTTTACTTAATTAGTACAGTTTTCACCTGAAAATATGACACAATACATTACATCACTTCCGAATTTCTATTTTGTTGTACGAGTTTTTTCATAACTTTAGTAACCTCTTCATTTTCGATATGGAGACTAGCATGCGAAAAAAAAAAATGGATGATCATTTTTCCGATAATCTCATTGTATGTACCAGATAGGGCCGATGCTAGACTATTTTGCGCCCTAGGCAAGACCAGCTACTCCTGTTCCCCCCCAAAAACTAAAACTTCAAAATAAAATTCCACACTGTGCTAATCCTTGCCAATGTTAACACTGTGTGGACACTGACTGGGGAGCTGGGAGGAAGTGATGTTGCGAGCAGCACGGCACCTCATTGGCTGGATACCTCTTCTTCACGGATGGTCTGAAGTTTGCAGGAGATGGCTTCGTCTCCAGCTAGTATCATCCAATCCTGTATGGGGATAGTGACACCAGTGATGTTTTACATGTTGCTTCCGGTCATTAACAGAAGGGGAAATCAGTGAACAGGTGTTCACTGATCTCTCTCCCTTCTACCGGTGGCACCCACCATGCAAGTCCCAGGTTTACTGATGGGAGCTCGAAGCCTGGGAAACATGGTAGGGCACATGGGGTGTGTGTGAAGCGATCTGGAGGCTAGATAGCTATTGGATTTCCACTTGACAGTCACTGCCACTGTAGTATGGCGGGGGGGGGGTTCACACAACACCCCACCACTATTGCCATACTACAGCAGCAGTGCCTTTGCAGTATAATGGGGAGTGGTTGGGGGACAGTAAAAGTGTGGCTCAGCCACACATTTTTAATGTCCCTCAAATAAGTGTAAATAAGAACTATCAGGAAGCATCTCATTATCATGATCACACAGTACAGAAGGTTGCTGTATGTTAGTCTGTATACAGATTATAGCTGTCATTTTTGTGCCTTAGAAAACAGAAATTGTGAGCTTGTCTGTGCACTGGGTTCCCATCGCTGCCTGTGCCTTCCTCCACCTCTCTGTTGAATCGCCTCCTGCCTCCCGGCTACAGCCTTGCCTTCTGCCCTCCACAGCAGAGCAGGGGATAATAACTCATCCAGTGAAAGAATCACTCCGCCAGAGAAAGGCTGTGAGCAACAGCGGCCAGTCACCACTGATCAGCATTTCAAAACACAAGGCGGATTTAGCTGCCTGCACCCCAAATTAAAAAAAAAAAAGACTCCTCTCTGCTCCTCGTCTCCTGCCCCTCCGATGAATAGATGGGGCCCAGGGAAAATATCATTCATGTTACAGCAGGGACGGTTGTACTGCCCTATTGGTGACCCTGGACGTGGATGCACCCTAGGCTGCAGTGGGCCATAGGCAGCTGCCTAGTTTGCCTAGTGGTACCAACGGCCCTGGTTCCAGGCTTAAGTTGGCCAACTCTTTGAAAACAATGTACTCTCTTTATGGCTGATATATTATCTCAACAGTTGTCAAACGGAAAATTATAATGACTGCAGTATCTGATCTATACATTTCAAATAAAAAACAAAACTTAAAAACAAAAAAAAAAAATCAAGCTCGTAGCTATGCAAAAGTCAGATAGGTAAGGTAAAAGCTACAACAAAAACATATGCTAATGAAAACACACTATACATTTAAAAAGCAGAACTTCAGGTTCACAAATCTGAAAAAATAAATTAATCTCCCAGCACATTGGGAGCCATAAAAACAATTCCCCGATGTATTCTCCTCTCTGGGATGAATGGCAGCCAGCGTCATTGAAGCTAATTTCCTGTATTCCAAGGCTGTCATAGACACACCCCCCCCCGAGGGGCACATTACAGTACAGTACTGCAGAGAGCTGCACTGACATCATGTCAGCACTACTCCCTGTAGATTCAGAGGCTACCCGCAGGGAGAAAAGGAAGAAGACCCTAGGACAGCCTTTTTCAACCACGCTGCCCAGGAAACCTGGGTTGCCTTCAGACTTCCTCAGGGGTGCCTTGGCAAAATGCCTAAAAATTGCCCAAAAAATTGTATACAAGCCAGCAGGTGAATCAATCCTGCTTTTCAGTTGCCCAAAGCCACAGGTTTTCATTGTGCACTTTTATGACCTTCCAGCTGCTGACGTCCTGACAACCAATGACATCATCAGTTGATAAGGAGGACATCCGGTGCATGCACATCATCCTTGTTTTTGCCCTTCCCCTCTCTGTCAGCACTGGGATTACGTTAGCAGAGTGAGAGAAAGAAATTGAGAGAGACACACTGGAATACTAGTCAGTACCAGTGTGCAAAGGTATATTTGCTTTGGAAGAATAAATCACTTCTAACGTTGGGTGTACCGTGTGTTGATGTTTGTAGAATAGTCTTTTACATTTTGTAATGGGGAGTCTTGAGATTATCCACAATTTAAAAAATTTTTAAAAGTTTGAGAAACACTGCCCTAGGATATCAGGAAGGGAGGAACAACATATATTTTTATTTAGACTTGAGGTCTGCTTAGATTGTCATGTTCTGTGAATTGTCTGAGAAGAGCAGAAAGTGGATCCACACCTGGGGGAGATAAAATAACAATTCATGGCAAAGCGCCATTTTGGAAAGCTATGAGAACGTCTTGCGGGGGAATTCCTCCATCCACCTTTTTTTATGTGGTTGGAGGAATCTGTTATCTTCCTAACAGTGTGTGGTCATGTTAAATCTATTCCATACTTATGGGATTTTCATGTTTGTGAACTACATATGATGACAAAAGTATTGTGGGACAAACTAACAAAGATGGTAAAAACCACCCATCATCGGTTAACTGGCCGTTTACCTTTACAAGGTTTGCTCTATGTCATGTTGTACAACTGATGCCCCATTTATTTCTTTCCATTAACAGGAGATTTGTGCCAATCCACAATTCATTGTGGATGGAGCCACACGGGGAGACATCTGTCAAGGCGCCCTAGGTAAGTACACCAGTGGAATGTCATGTAACATATGGGAACCGGGCATTAGTAGCCAATTAAGAGGCAATGTCATTATTACTAATTGGTCCTGAAGGGGCTGTCCATAAATTACTACACATTTGCCAAAGTAGGGCAAAGAGCTATGGCGAGATGGAAAGGTTTCTTCACAGTAAGAGCTGTGAAAATGTGGAACAGACTCCCTCAAGAGTTGGTTCTGGCAAGCTCAGTGGATTGCTTCAAAAAAGGCCTGGATTCTTTCTTAGATACACAGAATATAACTGGATACTAACATTTATAGGTAAAGTTGATCCAAGGAATATCCTGATTGCCTCTCTGGGGATCAGGAAAGATTTTTTTCCCAGCAGGAGCAAATTGGATCATGCTTGCTGGGTTTTTTTTGCCTTCCTCTGGACCAACTGTGGGTATAGGATTATAACTTTTTTTTTTCCATGGTTGAACTAGATGGACTTTTGTCTTTTTTCAGCCAGACTAACTATGTAACTATGTATATGTGAGATGGGGAAACAGCTCTCATTGTTTGAAACCTGTGTGGAAGTAAATTAATGTTTTCACTGACATTCTGCGGTTTAGCCACAAGATGTCACTGTTTTTCTAACACAGCCTCAGACTGCATATATATTTGTATATTCATGAAGAGGTGGGGTTTTGCACTCAGAGTTTGGAGTTTAGTGAACAGGAAGAGGAGACTGCAGCCATGTTTTGGACGATGCTGAATGAAGGGGCCGTGTGAGCTGAGAATCCGATGACATCCAGGTGTGAATGCGTCCCTCAGTAACCAGACCTGCAGCTGAGTGAAGCTGATGAGTTTGCTGCCAGGAAGCTGAGGGGACCAGAGGAACTAAGCAACATATACGGCAAGACCGCATGCTTGTTGGAGAGACATTTGTTCTGTTCAGAGTCACCAGCGGATACAAAGCAACCCCGGGTCGGTAAGATCGTGCACACACCTCATTTCAGTGTTGGCGCCTTGAGACTGAGTTCAGGCCTATATTTAGTTAGTAAGGGTCTCTGTTTGTGTCAGGCCACAAGTGTTGTTACTGATTCTTGGAAGGACTCCACAACTTAAAGTGACATTTCACATTGGAGAGCTGATAAAATCCTACAAACTCAAGCCAGACTGGCATTTTGCTCAGAAGGAATACTCAGGCACGTGCTACAGGACCAGTTATGGGAGAGGGAATACTGTAGATTTCTGTAAGATTGTAAGCTGTTGTGCTGCACCGCAGGCTAGCCCATACCATACACCCATACACTGATTCCTGCTCTTTTAGGGTAATAACGGGTAAGGTATGGCAGCTTAGTTGTGCCCGCCAGTAGGTAAATTACTACACTTTCTACCTTCATCCATCAGAAGGCGCCATGCTGTGCAGCACAAGGGTCTCAGCCTTTGGGCTGAGTGTATGTAAATTTATTGTATGTTTCCAGCATTTGTGGTTTTGTTTATTTGCCACATCTAAGTAAAATTCTGTTGTGGCAAAAGCTGGTGTTGGGGTTGCTTTCCTCGTTCGTGACTTCACTGTATCCTGGAGAGCCCAACCCGCTACACGGCCTACAACTAAACCCTGTAATACCAGCTAAAGTTAAACTGAACAATATCCTTATTTTCAAAAAAAAATCATCCATACACATCCAGGAAGTTGGATCTCAGCAGCAAAAAAAAATATTTGGAAATTTGAAGGCCGAGAGCAATAGAAGGTTCTTTTTTGAGTTAAAGTAGAACTATAGGCAACACTTTTAGTCATTTTGAATAGAGCAAGGGAGCGTTATAACCCCTGTCAGATTTTTGTTTGCCATCCGTGTCCCATTTTGGAGATTTCCCTTCACTTCCTGTCCCATAGCCAACCATGAAGTGAGAGGAAATCCTTGCAAATTAAGGGAATCCTTTGGGAACCCCCAAGTCACCAGAACACGTGTGCCCATTGGAAAATTTTTCTCCTATATTACTTTTCTAGGGACAGCCCAAAATTTGAGGGATCTTTTACTTTCAACGATAATGGTAAACAGGACAAATAGAGAGGGTGAATTTCCTTAATGGGGGTCACAGACAACAATAAAAACTGACAGCTGTTCTAATCCATCTCCACTCTATCCAAAACTAAAAAAACAAAAAAAAACAAAAAACAGTTTAAGTTTACTTTAAATCTGACTCTACATATTATGATTGCATTGTACAATCTCCTTTGCATCCACCAACAACGATGTATTTTAACCACCTCCCACCTGGCCAATGTACGTAAACGGCCAGGTGGGAACTTTTCGTTCTGAGTGGATGTTCCTGTACACCCCTCAGAACACGTGCCTGCACGCCCCGAGACCCCGCAGCAGCACAATTCTGTGATGGCTGTGTCTCTCGGACTCAGCCCATCTTGGATTGGATATGGGCTCTCTGATTGGCCCTTGCGATCACATGTCCAGTCACAGCCGACTCAGAATGTGAACTGAGACACGTGTTTCTGCAGTTGTTTCCCCGTGCTGAGCTCTGTGAGGGGGGGGGGATGCTGCAAACTGTGGCAGTTGAATCTGTGTAGCTGATGATTTTATTCATCAGTTACACAGATCTGCAGCCATCCACACACCAGTGCACCAAGCACCATTTGTCCCTGTCCACATGTCAACATCTGTCAGTGTCCCACAAACATCTGTCAACATCTGTCACAGTGCACAGTGCACAAAAACATCTGTCACAGTGTACTAGTGCACAAAACAAATAAATAATAATAAAAAAAATGTAAAGTACGACCGCCCTCCCCCTTGCTCACGTGCAAAGGCGAACTCACGCATTGGTCTCATAACGCATACGTAAACACCAAACGCACTACACATGTGAGGTATCGCCGTGAACGTCAGAGCAAGAGCAATAATTCCAGCACCAGACCTCCTCTGTAACTCTAAACCTGGTAACCTGTAAAGGCTTTATAAAGGCTTTTAAAGCGTCGCCTATGGAGATTTTTACTGTATTGACTTATACTGTAGTTTGGCACCATTCCATAAGCATGCACAATTTAAAGCGTGACATGTTTGGTATCTATTTACTCGGTGCAACTCCATATTTTCTATTTTACCAAAAATTTGGGTATTGTATTGTGCTTCTGTGCATCAAAATTCTTTAAGTGTCTAACTGACTAGGTATAATTGAAAAGTTTTTACTTATGTACATTTTAGATGATTTACAATCAGATTGTAATAGTTACATATTTAGATTGTTTTATGTTCATATAACGAATGTTAAATGTTCCTGCATAGGCAAACCATGGGTTCACTATAAAGTAGTAATAATAATAATAAAAATCATAGCACATACTTTGCTGTCTGAGTCTTGTTGCAGAGAAGTGGAATGTTCAGGAACACATCATCTAGGTTAGTCACAAATCAAACACAGCAGAGCGAGGTGGAGATTCTTCTCTTGTTTAATAAAGGTGTATAGTTAGAATATAGTTCAGATTATCAGCATTCTTGCAGATCAGCGATACAGTCAGCTCATGTTGTGCTAGAATGGACACACACAAAGAGACTGTATATAACAATCCAGCCAACTAGGCAGTTTGTACAGGGCAGCATTGCTTGGGAGGCATTCAATGTTTTACAAATATTTGTAGCTGTTATGATCTAGACCAGAGACTATTGCTCCATCATTGGTGTCATGTGGGAGAAACGTTTGCCCATCATTGGTGTCAGTTGGATTAATAAAAGCCCCTTCGTTGGTTTAAGTGGGAGTAACTATTACCCATCATTGGTGTCAGTTGGAGTAATAAATGCCCATAATTGGTGTCAGTGAAATTAATTAAAGCCCCATCATTGGTGTAAGTGGGAGTAACTCTTGCCCCATCATTGGTGTCAATTGGAGTAATAAATGCCCTATCATTGGTGTCAGTGAGAGTTATAAATGCCCCCTCATTAGTGTCAGTGGCAGTAACTATTGCCCCATCATTAATGTCAGTGAGATTAATAAAATCCCCATTGTTGTTGTAAGTGAGAGTTATAAATGCCCCATTGTTGCTTGGAGAAAGTGGAAAGAAATGTTTGCCAGAGAAGATATGTAAAGCCCCATCTCCTCCTAGCCATTTATTTTTTGCTTTAGTTCTGCTTTAGGGTTCAAGTGGGACTAGACCCATCAATGTAAGTTTCTCAAAACAGTTACATTTAAAGCATGCCATGAATGATAACTGTCTCAGTTGCTTGTGCGTTTAATCAAGCTCATTAAATGGTTGGTGTCATAACTGATCACATGTATGGCACCATGGCAACTGCAGGCTAGGCTACAGCAGGGTATACACATACAAGTCGTCTGGATTCTGCCGAATGGTCCTGCTGGAAAACCAGCATTCGGCACCCAGCTTGCTAGAGAGGCACATGGAGTAGGGAGAAAACTGGCATGGGATTGCCAGCAGAGGAGGTAAGCCTCTCTGTGCAATACCATTGTACAGACCAGGCAAGTATAACATCTTTTTTACATTAAAGTGGTTGTAAAGGCTCAAGGTTTTTTACCTTCATGCATTTGATCCAGCGATGTGCACTGGAGTCTCAGACTCCCTCTCCTCATTAGCTGAGACATCAGCGGGAGCCATTGGCTCCCACTGCTGTCAATCACAGCCAGTGAGCCAATGAAAAGAGAGGGGGGGTGGGGCTGAGCAGTAGCTCTGTTTGTGAATGGACATGGAGCAGCAGATGCGCCCCATAGCAAACTGCTTGCAGTCGGGGCACTCGACAGAAGGGAGGAGCCAGGAGCAACCGGCAGGGGGACCCAAGAAGAGGAGAATCCGGGCTGCTCTGTGCAAAACCACTGCACACAGCAGGTAAGTATACACATGTTTGTTATTTATTTATTTTTTTTTAAGATATGCCTTTAGAATTACTTTAACCATGTTGATAAACGGCCGGACAGGAGCTCTGCCGATGCGGGAGGGATATTTCTAAACGTCCCCTTGCGTCCATTGCCTGTGTGCACTCCCTGGGAGCGAGAGGCACTGCGATTGGTGCCCGCTGTGTCCTCCCATACAAATCACTGTACGGGACCTCTGTGTGAGGTTCCGAATTCATGTGATCGCTGATTGGCCAATCAGCGATCACATGAACATTAGTAAACAAGATGTCACTTCCTGACATCATTGCTTACTACTAGGGAAATCTGTGAATGATCACAGAGGTCACATGGTACAAGGCTATTCACAACAGCCTTGTACCATGTGACAAGCTGTGACCAATTACAGCTCTCACAGTGTTTCTCAATGGCTGCAGGGATGCAGCCAAAGAGAAGGAGAAATTATTGCTTTTATAGTCTTTATGTGTGCAAAAGCAATCAGTGTAAAAAAAGAAAAAAAAAAAATCTTCATCACCCCCCCACAAGTAGTAGTGTCACTATGGTGACACTGTACTGCTTGGGTGATAGTATGTTTAAAAAAACCCCAAAACAAACATAAATAATAATATAAAAAAAATTAAATTAAAATGTAAAACATTTTTTAAAAATGATAATTTTTGGTTATAAACTAAATTTGGGTTAATATTTGTTTTACTAAAAAGATAGAGGAATACATTTTGGCCAAGATTTATTTGCAAAATTTTATAAGAAAAAACACTTTTTTTTTCAAAATTTTCGGACATTTTCATTTATATAGCAAAAAAATAAAAATCCCTGGGGTGAATAAATACCACCAAAATATAGTGTTATCTGTCTAAAAAAAAATGATAAAAATTAATATGGGTACAGTGTTGCATGACCGTGCAATTGTTATTCTAGTGTGATAGCACTGGAAGCTGAAAATTGGCCTGAACAGGAAGGGGGTGAAAGTGTCCGGACTTGAAGTGGTTAAACCAAAAAATCTAGCCTTTTGTATCACTTTAACATACTTATAGAACAGTTATTTTCCCATTGCAATGGACCATTTATAATGGTTGGAAGTACAGAAGTTATTTGCAGAAATTAATCTCGATGTACGTAGTGTGATGTGATGACTAAAGCTGGCCATACACTAGTAGATTTGTGAACATTTGCATGAAAATTCTCAGTGCATTTGATGATTTGGCAAAACTTGTTTGAAAGTACTACAGAATTAGCGTAGTACAGAATGCTTTTAAAACTCCATTTTGAAGTGAAAGTAAATTTCCCGAACAAAAACCGCATTTGCTACAATAAATTTGCTTGAGAAAAATTTTCCATCCTGCTTCCTCCAAATTTTCTCATCATTGTGAATGTTCAATTGATCCACTAATGATTAGAAAATCTAACAAACTTTCTTAAAACAAAAAGTTTGAACAAGATTCTACTATTGTATGCCTAGCTTTAGCACTTGAGGCCCGGTCACGGTAGATTTCCTGTGATCAGACTGCACGCGTGCCCCCTGCTGACCCACGCTATGGTTGAACACAGCGGGATTTTGTCTGCAAGTCCCGGCCAATGAATTATGTCTGAGACCTCCTGATTGGCTGTGTCCAATCACAGCACAGAGCCTGTGTTTATAAACAACACAGGGCTGTGTACACAGAGCTGTGATCAGGCTCTTTCTTCTCCTTGCACATCAGGGAGAAAAGAACAGCCAAATCTCTTAATAAAAGCAGCACATATTACACACATTACAAATTGTTAGGCATATGGTTAACCCTTGATTGCCCCTTGATGTTAACCCATTCCCAGCAAGTGTCATTAGTAAAGCGACAGTGTACAGTATTAGCACTGATCACTGGATTAGTGTCACTTAATGTCGGTGTCAGTTAGTGTCCCTCCCAGCCAGCTAGATCCAGATTGCCCACCACACTATCACAGTCCCATTATAGGTCACTGATCACAGCCATTACCAGTATAGCGTCATAGCTGTGTAAATGCCAGTATATACCATAGTTTGTAGCCGCTATAACTTTTGCACAAACCAATTAATATACACTTATTGAGATTTTTATATACCAAAGACATGTAGCAGAATACATTTTGGACTAAATTTATGAAGAAATTAGATTTTTTTTGATTTTTTTATTGGATATATTTTATAACAGAAAGTAGAAAATATTTTTTTTTTCAAAAATCTTCATTTTTTTGTTTATATAATAAAAAAAAAACCTAGTGGTGACCAAATACCACCAAAAGAAAGCTCTATCTGTGTAAAAAAAGATACAAATTTCATTTGGGTGCAGAGTTGCATGACCACGCAATTGCCAGTTAAAGTAGCGCAGGGCTGAATAGCAGAAAATGCCCTGGTCATGATGATGGGGGTAAAACTTTTCCGGAGTTCAAGTGGTTAAGGATTAATGCTTGAGACCAATGATGGCGTTTGTTGTGCACAGCCACTCTTTAGAATTTCTACACACCTCCGCACAACAAATGTTGGTGAGGGAAACAGATTCATGTACCTGCAGTAAATGGGTACAAGAATTTGGGACAAGCACTGCGTGTGGAGGTGCACTGAGAATGGAGTATCCACATCAGGGGCGGACTGACAATACATGGGGCCCCTGGGCTATAGGGGATCATGGGGCCCCTGTGTCCTTACCCACACTCAAAGCACACCCAAAAAAGCATATAAAAGGTACCAGGTGCATTTCATAGGGCCCCCAACTGACCCTGGGCCCTCGTGCAGTGCCTGAGTGCTCGAATGGTCAGTCCGCCCCTGATCCACATGGACACTGCACCCTCAGTGCAGCTGAGCTCTCTGTTTGAAGTTCGGTGGGAGTCAGAGGCACTGGTTTCCCATCAGGTGTCTCCCCTTGTGATCCCTAATCAATATACAGCCTGCTATTGGCTATAGAATCTGCCCACTGCCTGCTGCCTTTCCAACCACTGACAGGTGGGGAGGGATGGAGTTAGTGGTGACAAACATGCCACTCTGCTACACAGCGTAAAGAGACAGGCACTTTGGTCTCTCTCTGTACGCCACATTAGAGTTGGTCTTAATTACCTCCAATTTCATTTACTACCAACTGGAGGCAATTAGTTTTGAATTATTCCAGTAATAGAGCCACTTTGTAAAAAATGTTTTAAATGTTTACATTTTTGTTTTAAAGAATGAATATACTGGGCTTATTATTTTTACTGTGATTATAATGGGTAAGTTCTTTCACAGAGTCAGTAGGATGAATATTTCCCATGTAAAGGTACCCATTGTGTTGTATTCGAGAAAATTGAACAGATATTTTGCAAGGAAAATCTCCCATCACCTGTCAGCTCCTGTTTGCTTTGCGGTTTTAGACATTATATGTACAGTATATCTGCTGACTCATTTGCCTAATTCTGACACGTGTTTCCTAGTCATTGTCACAGTTATCTGTTTGTGGATGTAGTCAGGATGAACATACTGACAATTCAAATCTACATAGTATTGGTGACAGCTGTCAGGCTCCATTTGGTGGATTCCTGTTTACACCTGGCAATCAAATGTGTTCAGTGTGTTGGGTATCTCGTAGGTTTATAAGTTCAGTATGTTGGCTTTTAAGGATGATGACCCTGGATGATGCCTGAACAAAGATAGTGCTGTCCTTCTGGAGAACAAAAATATAGGTATTGAAAGGGGGACTGCAGTGATCTCTTTAATGCCTTCACACCACCCTATAGCAGAAATACTGCTACAGTGTGGCAGGGGTGCGCAAAATCACGTGTATATATACACGTGATTTTGCATTTCCGGTTAGGGGGCATGTGTGCTCTACCCGCGTCACCAATGGCGACCTCAGCTGTTGATCATTGGGTCCCTGTACAGTGTCAGTGCTTTTTATTAGCACTGATCACTGTTTTGGTGTCACTGGGGATGCTAGTGACAGTTAGTCAGTTCCCCCCCAGTGTCAGTATGCCCACCGCAGTCCCATTATAAGTCGATGATTTGCTGCCATTACTAGTATAAAAATAAAATTCCAGTATCTATACCACCATTTGTAGATGCTATAACTTTCACGTAAACTAATTAATTGACACGTATTGAAATTTTTTTTAGCAAAGACATGTAGCAGAATACATTTTGGCCTAAATTTATGATGAAATTTTTTTTTTTTTTAATTTTTACTGGACATGTTTAATAGCAAAAAGTCAAAAATATAGGTTTTTTTCTCAAAATTGTTGCTAATTTTTTGTTTATAGCGCAAAAAATTAAAAAATGCAGAGGCAGTCAAATACCACCAAAAGAAAGCTCCATATGTGGGAAAAAAAGGATATAAATTTAATTTGGCTGAAATATTGCATGACCGTGCAATTTTCTGTTAAAATAACGCAGCGCCATATCGCGAAAAATGGCCTGGTCAGGAAGGGGGGTAAATCCTCTGGAGGGCAAGTAGTTAAAAAAAAAAAATCGCAATGCTTAGAAGTGTATTATAACTGCTGTCATTTGAAATCTCATTCCACATATTTGAAAGCTCCATTCTCTGACACAGGTGACTGCTGGCTCCTGGCTGCCATCGCCTCCCTTACCTTGGATCAGGACATTTTAGCCCGAGTTGTTCCAGAGAATCAGAGTTTTCAGAAGAACTATGCCGGAATCTTCCGCTTCCAGGTGAGCAGATGGTATTCTAGCACTAATACATCAGGGTAAGGTACAAATGCTTCACTAGTAACATTACACCAATACCAAAGCTAAGAAAGCCGGCCATAAAAGATATATATATATGCTGCAGTTGCTTGACATCCTTCTGATAATGGCAGTTCCCAAGTTGTCATGCTGGCCTTCTGACTCCAATGATCTCTGAGTCGCTGACCCAAGTATATAAATTATGACCTAAAGTGATAATAAACCCTCAGATTTTGAAAACACTTTCACCAGCTGATTTAATTCTTCCTGAGAATGCAGCTTCTTTATCTTTTATTCCTTGCCTACATTTCCGTTTAAAGTGGAACTAAACTCTTTCAATCAACAATAAAGTATATGTAATCCCTCACTTTGTAAAACAACCCATTCCGTTTAAAATAGAAATTAATGGCAAACATTTGTGTATAGATATAAATAATAATTGTAATAATAATAACATTTAAATACATTTTTTCCCCTTTTTTTTATAAGGGATCACCTCTGTTCTCAGCCACAGCTCAGGGAGGAAAAACAGCAGCACACTGATCTTCCCAGTGAATGGCTGTGCAGGTACCCCCTTGTCTCCGCCCCTGCCTTGACTCAGCAGTCGGCAGCAAAGAGGAGAATTGAACTCCTCTGCCAAATCCTGCACCTCTCAGTGCAGCTGCAGCACCCCCTCATCTCTGCCTCCCCTGGTCTCAGCATTCAGCAGACTCTGGTAACTGACTCCACTCCTCCTGTGGTCCTCCTCCAGACCCTGCACTTTCTGCTTTCCAGCTCTGCCCCCAAAGGGGGTGCATGGTGATGTTAGGGAGGGTGTGGGACTCTTGACATCTGTTGTAATGGGGGGGTGTGGTGCTCTGGACATCTAGTGTTACAGAAACAAGTGGCCCTTTTAGGGCAACCATAATGCTGATATGGCCCGCGATGAAATGCAGTTTGACACCCCTGATTTACATGATGGGTTTACTCTAAGAGTAAATTGTGGCATATATTTTCACCATGTTGAGATAGGCAAAAGAGACTGTAGAGTAGTGCAGCTACCAACGTAACCAAATATCCAATTCCTTCCTGACCCAATCCCATTAAAGAGAATAATTCCCCGGAGCAATCACTTCCCGCTTTATAGAAATGACTGCACCAGTCACTGTACTGGCATGGATAAAGACATCCATTACATTTTCAGATGCATTTAAAATGAACCGGTGCCCAGACTATGTCCGCTAAATTATTTCTATATTCAGAACAGTAAATGTACTTTAAAGCCCAAATGAATTTAATTTTGAATCTGCAAAATACATTCCAGGTGCATCAAAGTTAGGGTAAACAAATGCAGGCCATACATCGGGAGAACTCTGAATTTTCTTTAGAAAATCAGACATTTTGTGCGTTTTGTAATCTGACTGTGTTACCATTGATTTTGAAATTTGACCAACCAAGCCTTCAATTTCACCTCGTGTTGCTGCAGAAAAGAATTTTCATGACTGGGAATCTTCTTTTCTTTCCAGGTCACAGCTCATGCTCATTTTCTTTTTGTTTATTATTTTTCTCGCACAATTCTCCCATCATTGATTAGGAAAAGATTATTTTGGAAAAAATTTCCAACATGCCTGATCACTCAAATTCAATAAATCAGCTGATGCTGTGGCCCACTAATGGTACGAAACCTGAAAGAAAATTCTTAATTACGATTTTCAAAAGAAAGTTCACTCGGAATTCGACCCATGTTTGGCCTGCATTACAGTTTGCTTTTTTTAACCACTTGCCGCTCTGCCACTGTAGAAATACGGCGGCAGGGCGGCATGGGCAGGCAAAACCACGTTTTAAAACGTGTGTTTTGTAAACAGATAGGGGGCGCGTGCGAGCGCGCCGCCGCCCTATCTGTCCCACCGATCACCGCCGCAGATGTCAGTCGCCGGGTCACAGCCGGTCCTTACCGGCTGTTTCCCGGCGATCGGTGGCAAACAGTGACAGACAGCACAGCTGCAGTAGCTGTGCTGTCTGTCACTTCCCTGACAGCTCGAGGACGAGCTGATCGAGAAAGGAGAGTTTTCTCTCTCTCGATCAGTGGTATCCCGTGCAGCACACACCCCCGCCCCCTAGTAAAACACTCCCCTCACTCTTATAACCCTTCCCTGCAAAATAAAGTTAACCCCTTCCTCCCCAGTGCCATTAGTACAGTGTCAGTGGTTTTTTTTTTTGCACTGATCACTGTATTAGTGTTTTTGGGGATGTCAGTGACCCCGAAGTCAGTACCCCCCAATGTCAGAATGTCCGCTGCAGTCCCGCCATAAGTCTCTGGTCGCTGACATAAGTCACTGATCGCCGCCATAATTCGCTGATCGCCGCCATTATTAGTATAAAAAAAAAATAAAAATCCCAGTATCTTTCCCGCCATTTGTAAACGCTATAACTTTCACGTAAACCAATTAATTTACACGTATTGTTTTTTTTTTTTTTAGCAAAGACATGTCGCAGAATGCATTTTGGCAGAAATTTATGACTAAATTTGATTTTTGCATCTTTTTTTTACTGGACATGTTTTATAGCAAAAAGTCCAAAATATTGTTTTTTTTTCCTCAAAATTGTCAGCCTTTTTTTTTATAGCGCAAAAAATAAAAACCGCACAGGCAATCAAATACCACCAAAAGAAAGCTCAATTTGTGGGGAAAAAAAAAGATGTAAATTTCATTTATGTACCATATTGCATGACTGCGCAATTGTCCGTTAAACTAGCGCAGCGCTGTATAGCAGAAAAATGGCGTAAATTGCAGTATTTATACCATAGTTTGTAGACGCTATAACTTCCACACAAAGCAATCAATATACACTTATTGGGATTTTTTTTACCAAAAACATGTAGCAGAATACATTTTGGCCTAAATTTATAACCAACTTTGAGTTTACTATATATTTTTTATAGCTGAAATTAAAAAATATTGTTTTTCTTCAAAATTTTTGGCCTTTTTTTGTTTATAGCGTGAAAAAATAAAAAGCGCACAGATGATCAAATACCACCAAAATAAAGCTCTATTTGTGTGAAAAAAAGGACGTAAATTTTGTTTGGGTGCAGCATTGCATGACTGCGCAATTATCAGTTGAATTAGTGCAGTGCCGAGTAGCAAAAAGAGGCCTGGTCATCAAGGGGGGTAAATCCTCTGGAGCTCAAGTGGTTAATCAGCCTGAGTAGAAAAACCTGTCCCCTGAAAACATGCTGCAGACAAGGGATTTAATATGACCTTTACTGAGTCAGAGCTAGCGCTGTCTAATCAGAAGGGAGCATGAGCTCATGGGTCTAATTCAGCAGGTGGCATGTCAGACCTCTGCAATAGGACGACTCCTTTGATAGAGAGAGCGAGGGTCCCTTCTCTGCAGCAAGCGGGTAGGAGACAGGCTTTTCTACTCAGGCTGTGGCTGCTTTAGATGCAAAACGAACTGTAAGACATCGGACAGCTTTTGTTTTGATGTATCTGGAATTTATTTATTATTCATTTTAACTAAGGGTTCAATTGGGCTTAAAAACAAGCCCTTATTCACTTTTGTAGCTATAGGAATTGTAGGGAAATTAATCTTCAAAATTCATAACAGAGGCACTGAAATCACAGCTATTTTCTAGGAGAGCAGATCTTGTCAGCCTGGCAGCCCTCTAATATAAACACACCGCAGGTATTTCTAAGCCACTAGAAATGGACTGAAAGCTAGTTTGTCTTTTCTATTAACTTTGAAGATGAATTGCTTCACATTACAAGCATCTACAGAGGACAATGATGACTCTTTTACTAATCAGGAGTCTGCAATTTTTTGTTCATAGTCTGGACACAGGTGCACTTTAAGGGCTCGTTCACACTAGGTGCAGAGACGTCAGTTTTTCTGCAAGGGCACAATGAAATCAATTGTTCTCTATGCACCCTGTTCACACCCACAACACTAATATTTTTTTTCGACACAGGGATCTGCAACATGTAAAAAACTCATTGAAGTACGCATGAAAACTGATGTTAACTGATGTCTTTGCAAGTGAAATCTGCTCATCAGTTTCCATTAGTCTTTTTACACGGATGGCGTGAACGAAGCCTTATAAACCCTTATTGGTACCTAACAATGGTGACCGATGTCTTCCTACAGTTAGCATCTTTATTTTGAACATTAAAGTCTTAGGCCAGGTTAACACTTTTGCCGCGTGCTAATGCACATGTTAACTCACGTTACATCGCAACCTACCATGTGTTGCATCCAGGCTTTCTTTCAGTGGGAACGTAGGGGAATGCAGTTCTGGCACCTCCAGCACTTAATGTATGTAATGGCAAGGGGTGCGGGGGTGCGCTGGATGGTCTATTGATGCTGGCTGCTGGAGGATCTTTTGTTGTTTGAGGGGAACTGTTTTTGTGGGGGGGTCTGTTGTTGCTGGGAAGGACTATTGTTGCTAGGGGTGGTTATTATGTTGATGGGTGGTCAATTGTTGATAGGAGGAATCTACTGTAGAGGGAGGGGTCTATTGTTGGTGACTGCTGGAGGGTCTATTGATGCTGACTGTGGGAAGATCTGTTGTTGCTGCCAGTGGTCTATTGCTGCTGGAGGAGTATTTTGTTGTAGGTGGTCCACTGTTGCTGTGAGATTTATTGTTGCTATGGAGATCTATTGTTGCGGGGGGGGGGGAATATTTTTACTGGCTGCAGGGGATCTATTTTACTGCTTTTCTTGTTATCATTACTGAATTCCATACAAATTACTTGGCACCAGAAAATGATACTTGCTTCTGTATTCTTTAAAAGGGCTGTACTGGGAGGTGAGTAGGGGTGGGACCAAGGGACATTGCTCGGAGGTCGGTAGGGGCGGAGACAAGGGGTGATTTGGAAAGACAGAGTTTCAGTACCTATTCTCTGGGAAAAAAGCCCTAGTTGCATCAATGCAACACATTCATGTTGAATGGGTTGTCAACACCCGTCATTGGAGCAGAAACTGCACCTGACCCTTCTTTTTCAGCAGTGCCTTGTAGCATATCATAACAATGAGTCTCTGCCCTTTTTCTACTTAGTTTAGTAAATAAGCCTTTAATCTAACATATTTCCTCTTTTTTTCAGTTCTGGCAATATGGTGATTGGGTGGAAGTGGTGGTTGATGACCGCCTGCCGACAAAGGATGGACAGTTGGTATTTGTGCACTCGGCAGAGGGGAATGAATTCTGGGGATCACTGCTGGAAAAGGCCTATGCCAAGTAAGTCCCAACGGCCAACACATTTTCATGCCTTATGTAAAACGTTATACTTTCTCCCCTAAAGTGAATGTGCCATTCCTGACTTCCATCTGAAAATGCAAGCTGACTGGCTGTCCATTGGCTTCTTCTATGTTACCTGGAACAAGTATGCAGACTGGGAAATTCACTTGACAGCCAGGCAGCTAGCATTTTCAGAAGACAAGGTCAACAGTGTTTGACCCCATATGGGAGGTTCCCTTAATTTAATAATAATGCATTTTTCAGTTATATTTGATGGCCTGGAGATATCATTGCTTCAGGTATTGATTGCTGTGGGGCAGTGGTTGTCAAATTACAAGGGAGGCTCATCTGTGGCTCCTGCCATCACCAAAGGGCCATACAGATATGTAAGACTACCGAAGACTGGCTGTGGACATTCCGCAGGAGATTGTCTGAGACTGCAGACATGCTACATGTGTTTAGAGACATGGTACAGGACCAGGGGCAGACTGACCATTTAGAAACTCTGGCACTTCCCGAGGGCCCGGGGTCAGTAGGGGGCCCCATGAGATGCCCCTGGTACCTTTTCCATAGGTTTTTTTTTTGAGTTTGGGCAAGGACACAGGGGCCCCATGATCCCCTATTGCCCGGGGGGCCCAATGAGTTGTCAGTTGGCCCCTGTACAGGACACAGAAAGAGAGTGAGAACATGTTGCAAGAGGTTGCTAGAAATCACTGCTATCTACCTTTACAAATTGCTCTCATTTCTGACATCTGGGGTTCAAGGGCCTCACAACAAGTACCAGTGAGCCCTATGTGGTCCTTGTTTATCAAGGCCATAGAAGCTACCGTGTTTCAATAATGGAATATTCCTTCCTTTCTCTGACAGGCTGAATGGATCATATGAGGCTCTGACAGGTGGGAGCACCATTGAAGGCTTTGAGGATTTCACAGGGGGGATATCGGAAGTGTATGACCTGAAGAAAGCACCGGCTGATCTCTATGAAATTATTCAGAAGGCTCTAAAAGCAGAGTCACTGCTCGGGTGCTCCATCGATGTAAGTTCTGATATCTTATAAATCAAACTTTGGAAAAGTTAATTTCCTATCATAAATGTATTAAAATGCTTTTATGTGTCAAAGTGAATAAATAAAAGAAACATTCTTGGGTCAGTGTTACCAGTCAGAGTCCCTCCCTAATCCCATCCTTTTGGTCTTGGGGAGTGAAAGTGAGGTTCTGATTGGTTTCTACGAAAAACACCAATTGAAGAATTTATAAGAGAGTTACTATGATTTCTTATTTAATATGAACTTCAATAGTTTAAAGTCCAAGGAAGGAATTTTTACCCTGCAGGAGCAAATTATATCATGCTTTGCTGGTTTTTTCTTTTGCCTTCCTCTGGATCAACTGTGGGTGTAGGATTATAACTTTTTTTTTTTTTTTTTTTTAATGGTTGAACTGGATGGACTTTTGTTTTTTTTTTCAGCCAGACTAACTCTGTAACTATGTAATTCCTGGTACAGCAAAAAAATATCCTTGCAGGGTGGACCCCCACACTGCAAGGGTTAAATGCTTGCTAAGGCTAGGGCAGGGGTCTGCAAACCTTTAAGACATGAAGAGCCACTTGGACCCGTTTCCGAGAGGGAAAAAAAAGACTGGGAGCCGCAAAACCATTGCAACATTAAAACAAATCCGACACTGCATATATTGCAAAAAACGCTCTGGTCATGAAGGGGGTTTAAGGGCCCAGTAAGCAAAGGGTTAATCAGGGCCACAGTGTATCGTCATAATCACAATCATAGCCTTAGGTCAGTGGTGGGCAACCTTTTTTTTCGACTGAGCCAAATCTCGCCAAAACCACGATTGAAATTTATTTTGAGAGAAACATTTTTAAAACTGAAAATACATCCCCCATATAGTAATTCATCCCCCATATAGTAATTCATCCCCCCTATAGTAATTCATCCCCCCTATAGTAATTCATCCCCCCCCTATAGTAATTCATCCCCCATAGTAATTCATTCCCCATATTGTGTGAATTCACTTACCTTTGCTCCGCGCGTTCCTCTCGCTGGTTTCCCGCGCCGTTCTGGTCTTCAGGGCGGACTGTGAGAGGAGAGGAGTTTGTCACGCTGCCCCGCCTACATCCGGGCTGCCCCGCCTACATCCTGACAGCCAATGTTTGCCAGGGGGGCGCCCGGCACACAGAAGATCTGCATTAAAAGAGCCGTGGCTTGCCGACCCTATTGCCTGTCACATGGTGGGCAGTGTGCTCCGGAGCCGCAGGAAAGGTGAAAAAGAGCCGCATGCGGCTCCGGAGCCGCGGGTTGCCGACACCCGGGCTAGGGGGTTGCAGAAGAGGCTGTATTACTTGCCTGACCCCTCCTCCAGCAGGGACCCTCAATCTGTGCAACCTGTCTACCGCAGTCTCCTCTGTAAGCTTCTCCCAGGGGTGGTCACACTCCTGCTTCCACCGCATACATGCAAGACTGGGCCAAGAAATATATTACTGTAATAATACCAGCCCATACCAGAACCCCACCTCTACCTTGCTGGCGTCTGAGTCACAATGGAGCTCTCTGCCTGTTACTGATCCACCCATTCGCCCATCCATCTGGTCCGTCAAGAGTCATCTCATCAGTCCATAAAACCTTTGAAAAATCTGTCTTCAGATATTTCTAGGCCCAGTCTTAACATTTCAACTTATGTGACTTGTTCTTGGTGGTCGGGTTTCTGCCTTTCTTACCTTAGCAATGTCTCTGAGCACTGATTACCTTGTAGTCCTGGGCAGTCCAGGTAGGTGGCAGTTCTGGAATATGACAGCATTGGAGGATAAAGGGGTTCCTGATATCTTCAAGTTTGATTCTTCTCAAATCTTTGGCAATTAATTTGCATTTCTTTTTCTCAGCAAATTTCTTGCGACCCTGTTGAATATTTGTAACAAAAAATGTAATGGTTCTGTGATCACTCTCCAATATCTTAGCAATTTCAAGAGTGCTGCATCCCTCTGAAAGACTTTTTACAATTTTTGACTTTTCAGAGTTAAAAGTTCAGAGTTCAGAGGTAAATCTCTTTTTTAGACCCATGCACACCTTGATATAGGTTGTTGATCTCCTTAGGCCACATCCTCCTCCATTAAACACAAATACACATCATCTGATCTGCTTAAATCCAATACACATTCAAGTTTATACAGCTTAGAGTTGGACAATATGCATAAAAAATGATGATTTGGTCAAACATTCACTTGCTTAATGTGCACACAGTGTAATTAATCGAGTTCTACACCGAACCAAATAGGATATAATCCCAGAGTGGTGCATACCCCAAACACTGAATTTTTAGTCTGTTCGGATTATAAATTCTTATTATTAGTATTCAGGACTTTTAAAATAAAAAGTTGACAGAACAGTTAGAAAACAATTCATGAAAAAGAGAGTTCAGAGGGCCCTGCTCATAACAGTTTTTTTTTTCTTAAGAAAAAGAATTAAACAAAGAATAAAGTCATACAAAAACTAGAGCACAACAAGAATACATAACTTGCTGCAAGGAATCCCCTACAGTTATAAGAGAGCCAGTGTATTCAAAGCCAATAAAGGAATAGGAGAAAAGCACAAAGACCAAGCCAGTGCACATTATGTTATATGAAGAATTAACAATATAATATCACCTTTATCAAGCTTTTCAATATGTCAAATTTATTAGTGCAGTCTCTGTATTTTTCAAGCCTAATGGTATCCCCAATTTGGGCTACCCAGTCTTTCAGTGTGGGAGGGTCAGCTGATATCCAGTATCTCAGAATCAACTTTCGTACCTGAAAGAGGGCTCTAGCTATGGCCTGTTTAGGGATATCCTAGAGATCACCCAGGATACCCAAAATAGAATATTTAAGGTCTTCTGGGATCTGTACCTGGAAAACCCTACCAATAGTGGCAATAACCTCCCTTCATCAAAGGTGTAGTTTCGGGCACCTCCACAGAAGGTGTATCAGGTCACCGTGATCCCTACTACGAGTGCAGAGAGAGGGCCTGTTCTTATGCCCATACGAAAAAGCTTTAGAAGTAGGTATAGTTGGGAGAGGCGTTGGGGCACATTAACCACTTTCCATCTAGAGGATTTACCCCCCTTCCTGACCAGACCATTTTTTGAGCTGCAGCGATGCATTACTTTAACTGACAATTTCGCAGTCATGCAACGCTGCACCCAAATTAAATTTATGTCCTTTTTTTCCCATGAATTGAGTTTCTTTCAGTGGTATTTGATTGCCTGTGTGTTTTTTATTTTTTGCGCTATAATAAAAAAAAGACCGACAATTTTGAGGAAAAAAACAATATTTTTGGCTTTTGGCTATTAAACATGTCCAGTAAAAAAATCTAATTTTGTCATAAAATTACGCAACAGTGTATTCTGCTACATGTCTTTGCTAAAAAAAACAAATTGTGATAGCAATAAAGCAGAAAAAAAAAATAAATAAAGCGTAAAAAAAGTAGCAAAAAATAAATAACGTGTAAAAAAAAGAATTATTTAAAATAATTTTTTTTTTCTTTAAATTTAAAGCACTCCTGTACACACCTCATATACAAAGCACAGCATAGGGTGAGCACATGTATGTAAACATCAACTGCACCACACATGTGTATCACCGTGAATGTCAGAGTGAGAACAATAATTCTAGGGCCATAATGCACAATTATCCTTAAAATTATGACCTGTAAAGGCTTTTAAAGCATTGACGTTGGAGAATTTTGGGTACTATAATTTTTTGCAATTTCATAGGCGTGTGCCGTTTTTAAGGCTTGTTTGGTATCTATTTACTTGACACAACTAAATCTTTTATAATTTACCCAAAAATTAGGTATAATATAGTGTTTGTTCTTTTAGAAAATATATTCTTTTTGGGTGTTTACAGTAATTTCTAGCAAAAAAATGCTGATTTTAACATGTGTGCAAAAAATTTAGAAAATTCCTCAGATAGAGAAGTGGTTAAGGTAATTGCCATATCTGAGCTCAGTGGGGGGATTTTCAACAAGGAGGCATGCTCACTTCTGTAATGCTGGGGGTGTGAACCCAACGTCTGCCATATCCAGGAAAATTAGGACAAGGGAATAAAAACAGCATGGGAGTATTTCAGCCACACCTCAAAGGTGGTTAGAACACACCTACAGGTATGGCAACTACATCTAACAATTGAGTTGATTTACTAAAGCTGGAGCATACAAAATCTGGTGCAGTTCTGCATAGAAACAAACCAATCAGCTTCCAGTTTTTGTTTTTTTTGTCAAAGCTTAATTGAACATGCTGAAGTTAGAAGCTGATTGGTTTCTGTGCAGAGCTTCACCAGATTTTGCACACCCCAGTTTTAGTAAATCAACTCCATTATGTTGATAAATGGCACTGTAACTTACTGGGGCCATTCTGAACATGGCCTTCACCTAAAATATTGACATATGTGGGAAGTGTGGATCTTTGGTTCCCTCATATGGCTGAAATTATTAAGTGCAGCTAAATCCTATTTACAACCTCTGGGCAGTTGCTTCCCCATTTCTGGGGTTTATTTATTTATTTCAGGTACTTATATAGCGCCATCTATTTACGCAGCGCTTTACACATATATTGTACAGTCACATCAGTCCCTAACCCTCAAGGGGTGTACAATCTAAGGTCCCTAACTCACATTCATACATACACATACTAGGGCCAATTTAGACAGGAGCCAATTCACCTACCAGCATGTCTTTGGAGTGTGGGAGGAAACCGGAGTACCCGGAGGAAACCCACGCAGGCACAGGGAGAACATGCAAACTCCAGGCAGGTGGTGCTGTGGTTGGGATTTGAACCAGCGACCCTAGTACTGCCAGGCTTTACATGTTATTGCAAAAATTCCATTAACACACCAGTTTTTAGAAGATGCTGGAGGGTTAAATCACTTGGAGGTTCCCTCTGTCTCTCAAGGTCTCTATAAGACCCCAGTCACACTGTGTGTGATTTGCATGCTTTACGACTCGCAAATCGCATGGCCAGTTGCACCCTTTTGTCCGCAATTACGGCGGTTCTGACTTGGCCGGAGTCGCACCTTTTTCTAAAGTAGTGCATGCACTACTTCTGATGCAATCTGCATAGAGGTCTGTGTCAGATGTTTTTGCAAATCGCACCTTAAATCGGCATCTCACCCGACTTTTGAAATCGTGCAACTTCACTGTTGGGATCGGTGTGACTGGGTGTTAGTGAGATCTCTGTGCTGAGTTTCAGACTCCAGGCACCTGGAGCTCACACCATTCCTGCTGGATTTCCTCATTTTTTATGAAGAATGTTACAAGAGAAGCTGGAACATACACAGGTTGGCGGAAACACCCAAAAATTCCCACATAGACAGGAATACAGTCAGGAATTATGGCAGAGAGATCTCCTTGCAGAAATTAAAGAGGCAAGCAACTGACTCAGCAAACCATGCCCCACCTATAACTAAAATATCACTTTCTCAGTAGTCTGACCCTTTATTACCAGAGTTAGCCGATTTTCTCAACAAAATCACATTGACTCCCAAATTATGAAAATAAAAACTCCTAACTGTAGAGAATCCTATACAGGCTGCTTATAATTTAGGTTTCTTACTTTTCTTCAGCAGTAAATTGTAAACAATAAAAAAGGGTTATTTTCCATTTAGAGTGTATAACCCTGGTGCCCAATATGTTGCCTGGGGCCGCATGTGGCACTTATTGTGCTGCCCTCAGAGTCCATGCAGACTGTAGTCTGTGCTTTCCTTACCTAGGTACTTATTGAGTCCCTTACTTGATGTCCATCCCATCTCTTTTTATGTTTTTTTTTCCTCTGATCTTTTATAATGGATCTTGCTGTGGCACGTCATTTATAAGTGGGCTGTGTAGGGAGCACAAATATGGAAGCATGGATGTGTAAAGGGGCTGCATTAGCAGTAATCTCTAGTAATCTCATAGTACGTCTCCAGTCTATGAATCTTCCCTAAAGCTTGTCCCCAGTTTTCACTAACTCCTATAGCATGTCTCTGAGTGACCATGTCCTGTTACATGTCTGCAGTATCTGACCTTCACTTATTACATGTCTGCAGTATCTGACCTTCACTTATTACATGTCTGCAGTATCTGACCTTCACTTATTACATGTCTGCAGTATCTGACCTTCACTTATTACATGTCTGCAGTATCTCACCCTCTCTTGTTACATGTCTGCAGTATCCAACCTTCTCTTGTTGCATGTCTGCAGTATCCGATCCTTCTCTGATTACATGTCTGCAGTATCCGATCCTCTCTTGTTGCATGTCTGCAGTATCCGATCCTCTCTTGTTGTATGTCTGCAGTATCTGATCCTCTCTTGTTGTATGTCTGCAGTATCCGATCCTCTCTTGTTGTATGTCTGCAGTATCCGATCCTTCTCATATTATGTGTCTGCAGTATTCGATCCACTCTTGTTGCATGTATGCAGTATCTAACCTTCTCTTATTACATGTCTGCAGTATCCGATCCTCTCTTGTTACGTGTCTGCAGTATCTAACCTTCTCTTATTACATGTCTGCAGTATCCGATCCTCTCTTGTTACGTGTCTGCAGTATCTCACCCTCTCATATTACATGTCTGCAGTATCCGACCTTCTCTTGTTACATGTCTGCAGTATCCGACCCTCTCTTGTTACATGTCTGCAATATCTAACCTTCTCTTATTACATGTCTGCAGTATTTCACCCTCTCTTATTACATGTCTGCAGTATCTGACACTCTCTGGTTACATGTCTGCAGTATCCATCCTTCTCTTGTTACATGAAAGCACTATCCGACCCTCTCTTGTTACATGTCTGCAGTATCTGATCCTTCTTTTATTACATGTCTGCAGTATCTGACACTCTCTGGATACATGTCTGCAGTATCCGACCTTCTCTTGTTACATGTCTGCAGTATCCAACCTTCTCTGGATACATGTCTGCAGTATCCGACCTTCTCTTGTTACATGTCTGCAGTATCCAACCTTCTCTTTTTACATGTCTGCAGTATCCGACCTTCTCTTGTTGCATGTCTGCAGTATCCGACCTTCTCTTATTACATGTCTGCAGTATCCAATCCTCTCTTGTTGCATGTCTGCAGTATACAATCCTTCTCTCATCACGTCTGCAGTATCCGATACTCTCTTGTTGCATGTCTGCAGTATCCAATCCTTCTCATATTACATGTCTGCAGTATCCAATCCTTCTCATATTACATGTCTGCAGTATCCGATCCTTCTCATATTACATGTCTGCAGTATCCGATCCTTCTCATATTACATGTCTGCAGTATCTGACCCTCGTTTGTAGCACATCTGCGGTATCTAAAGTGGAAGGAGGGAGGGGGCTCTGCTGGGGAATGGACTCTAGCATGTTTTAAGGCACATTGTAGGTGAATAAAGTTTTTTCTGGCCAGAAAAAAATCAAAAGTAACCAGTGAAAATATTGTATTTTTCTGTGCTTTTAACTAAAGGGTTTCTTGAAACTATGTGTTTTTTTTTCCACTTCTTTGTCCAACCAGATTACAAATGCCTATGATACAGAAGCCATCACAAGCCGGAAGCTGGTGAAGGGACACGCATACTCTGTGACTGGAGCGGAGGAGGTATGGAAGAGTCACATTGATATATATTCTATAGTACATCTTTAGCCTTGGGGAAAAAAAAAACGTTGCAGACAGTATAGGTAGACAATCATGTTTTCTGTAAAGTGAACCTGTTTTGCCAGTTCAGGGCAAACTAACAGGATATTTTGATAGCTAATACTGATCTTCCACTGACACCTTCCCTGCACTCCCCCAACCTTCCTGCCAGAACCCTGTGTAAGCTCAGTATTGGTCTTTGTGGAGCTTACATATGGTTAAGGACTTTCCCCCACATCCAAGTAACAGTGTTCATATCTGGTGATTGACTGTACAGGCATCCAGCGCTGCATCATGGATAGAAGGGGAAGAGGTCCCCCAAACCCAGCAGTTCTGCAACCAAAAATAGCCCAAACAGTGCCATAACAATCAACCACAAATTATGGTGCGCTACCAAAAAAAAAAATACATAAATAAAGTAATAAGAGAGAATCAATCACAAAAACAGTTCATTTGAAACAAGCTAAAAACTCTGCATTTATATACTACGGATAAACAAACAAAAGTCCATATTATGAAAGTGATTGGAAGTAAGTCCACATAAGTGCTCCATAGACAACGGTGTCAGTGTAATGTCCTCCATCACATATAGATGATTAGATCTCGATTGCATAGATCAGTATACACTTGTGTATGTGTGCCCTTGCACACATACACAAGCTCCACACCGCTGGCGAAGCTCATTGGTTGGCAAAACATGTTGGGAGGGGCTTAGCTGGTGATGTATATTGTATACTGTGAACACATCCTCGGCTTGTTTTATGCTTGAGTTTTCTTGGATCTTGTAAGTACCTGTCTTTTTTTTATAATAAAGCTATTTTAAATGGTATGACACTATTGTGGCTGCCATGATTCTCTTTGGAGGGTGCCGATGAGACGACCAGTGTCTGTTCATGGTACAAGGAACCGCATGGTGAAGGATCGCAGCAGATCTTGTGCAAGGGCACACATACAGTGGATATAAAAAGTCTACACACCCGTTAAAATGTCAGGTTTTTGTGATGTAAAAAAACGAGACAAAGATAAATAATTTCAGAACTTTTTCCACCTTTAATGTGACCTATAAACTGTACAACTATTAAAAACAAACTGAAATCTTTTAGGGGGGAAGTAAACATAAAAAACTAAAATAATGTGGTTGCATAAGTGTGAACACCCTGTTATAACTGGGGATGTAGCTGTGTTCAGAATTAAACAATCACATTCAAAATCATGTTAAATAGGAGTCCGTACACACCTGGCATCATTTAAAGTGCCTCTGATTGACCCCAAATAAAGTTCAGTTGTTCTAGTAGGTCTTTCCTGACATTTTCTTAGTCGCATCCTACAGCAAAAGCCATTGTCCGCAGAGAGCTTTCAAAGCATCAAAGGGATCTCATTGTTAAAAGGTTTCAGTCAGGAGAAGGGTACAAAAGAATTTCCAAGGCATTAGATACACCATGGAACACAGTGAAGACAGTCATCATCAAGTGGAGAAAATATGGCGCAACAGTGACATCACCAAGAACTGGACGTCTCTCCAAAATTGATGAAAAGACAAGAAGAAAACTGGTCTGGGAGGCTGCCAAGAGGCCTACAGCAACATTAAAGGAGCTGCAGGTATATCTGGCACATACTGGCTGTGTGGTACATGTGACAACAATCTCCTGTATTCTTCATACGTCTGGGCTATGGGGTAGAGTGGCAAGACGGAAATCTTTTCTTATGAAGAAAAACATCCAAGCCCGGCTAAATTTTGCAAAAACACAAATGAAGTCTCCCAAAAGCATGCGGGAAAATGGTTTATAGTCTAATGAAACCAAGGTTCGACTTTTTGGCCATAATTTCAAAAGATATTTTTGGTGCAAAAACAACACTGCACATCACCAAAAGAACACCATACCTACAGTGAAGAACGGTGGTGGCAGCATCATGCTTTGGGGCTGTTTTTCTTCAGCTGGAACTGGATCCTTAGTCAAGGTGGAGGGAATTATGAACAGTTCCAAATACCAGTCAATGTTGGCACAAAACCTTCAGGCTTCTGCTAGAAAGCTGAACATGAAAAGGAACTTCATCTTTCAGCATGACAACGACCCAAAGCATACATCCCAAATCAACAAAGGAATGGCTTCTCTAGAAGAAGATTAAAGTTTTGGAATGGCCCAGCCAGAGCCCAGACCTGAATCCAATGGAAAATCTCTGTGGGGTGATCTGAAGAGGGCTGTGCACAGGAGATGCCCTCGCAATCTGACAGATTTGGAGTTTTTGCAAGGAAGAGTGGGCAAATCCCAAAAAGTGCTGTAATAAAATCAAAAGGTGCTTCAACAAAGTATTAGTTTAAGGGTGTGCACACTTATGCAACCATATTATTTTAGTTTTTTATTTTTACTTCTTCCACCTAAAAGATTTCAGTTTGTTGTTCAACTGAGTTGTACAGTTTATAGGTCAAATTAAAGGTGGAAAACATTCTGAAATTATTTATCTTTGCCTCATTTTTTTACATCACAGAAACCTGACATTTTAACAGCGGTGTGTAGACTTTTTATATCAACTGTACAGAAGCGTATACTGATCTATGCAATTGATGTCTGTTCATGGTACAAGGAACTGCATGGTGGATCGCAGTGGATCTTGTGCAAGGGCACACATACACAAGCGTATACTGATCTATGCAATCGAGATCTAATCATTTGGTAAGAGGCCATCTATATGTGGTGGAGGATAATACACTGACACCATTATCTATGGAGTGATTTTCATCACAGCACTTATGTGGACTTACTTCCAATCACTTTCATAATATGAACTTTTGTTTGTGTATTCATTGTATATAAATTCAGATTTTTTAGTTTGTTTCAAAAGAACTGTTAATGTTTCACTATATATGTATTTGATTTTTTTTTGAGTAGCGCATCATAATTTGTGGTTGATTGGAAGACAGCAAACCGAGTTCTCAGCACAGCCAGAAAACTTACCACCGTTTGCTCCCATGCCTAGCCTGTTGCCTAATCAGTTTTTATCAGGAAAGCAGAGGGACTGGCAGGAACACCAGGGATTTCACACAAAGGAAGCAATACAGGAGAAGAGGATACTTTTTATGTACAAGTCCATGGTACAGCAGACACATATCAGGAATATGAAATGTTGGGTTTACACTTTCTTTAACACACAATTGTATCAGTAGTTGATGGAATGTACACAGACAACAATCTTGTGTGGTTTGCAGGTTGTCTATAAGGGTCAGAAGGTCCAACTGATTCGAGTGAGGAATCCTTGGGGCGAGGTGGAATGGAATGGCCCCTGGAGTGATGAGTGAGCATTGAATTTCCTTTTATTCTTTGAGTAAACATTTATTGAGTACAAGGTTTGCTTAAAGTGGAAATAAACCTTCCTATCCCTTACAGCCATGGACGCTGACATCTTGGCCTCGGATTGATCTGCATTTGCCATGGTGCTGTACATGTGATCAGCTATAACTTCTGCCATTTAATGGTTGACAATTTGGTTGAGAGCACAAGCAACTGTGGCAGTTATCATTCATGGCTGCCTTGAATGTAACTGTTTTGGGATAACATTAAATGGGTTAAAAGGGTTTAGTTTCTTTATTTTTTTTTATAGAATGTAGAATGGGAAAACGTCTGTCAGATGTTTATTGTGTCTGTGTCTCCATGGGGGGGTTCACCCCTCTATTTGTCCTGGTGACCATTGTCACCGAGACAAAATTTTGAGATGTCATAAGGGTGGGATTTACCTCATCATTTCCTCTTACTTCCTGTCTTCAGGAAAGAAATCTCCTCAACGAGACACAATCACTTCCCAGATATACCAGTTTTCACCCCAGTAAAAAAATTGGAGCCACAGTAAAAAAAAAAACTTCTAACAAGAAAGAACCACGTGGTACTTCACTTTATTTTCTATAATTGAGAGATTGGTGTCAATGCAGTCAATTGCCAGGGCCAATGTTTTTATATTTATCTGACTTAAAGTGGTATTAAACTTAGGAACGTTTTTGCTAAAAAATGGGCCCCCGGGGGGGGTTATGCCATAATGTGTTAGTTTGCATCACATACTAGTACATTGTGGAGACTTATCTGTCATAATATGCCCTTCAGTGCTGTGCTGTCACTGATCTTGCAGATCCCGTACACTTCCATTCTTGCATGATCTTCCTTCCGGGATCTGCCTCATGAATGGCCAGACTGCGATTACATTACTTCTGCATGTGCGCACAGGAGTCACATCACCACGGCACAGATTGGGTGCCATAAATATGGTCTGAGCTGTGCATACGCAGCTTAGATCACATTACTACTGACAAGCAAGGGGAGCCATTCATGACAGAAGAGACCACTTGGCTTTGGGTGAGGTGGGATGTTATTGAAATCCAGTTCTGCAGTTACAGTATAACACAGTATCTACTGTAAATTTACGTTGTATTCTGTTTTTGTATCTGTTTAACTATAGAGCCCCAGAGTGGAATTACATTGATCCCAAAGTGAAGGCAGCTCTGGACAAGCAGTCAGATGATGGGGAATTCTGGTGAGTACACTGATTGAAATGAAACAAATCTCATACATCTGTAGCACCCTCCTAGGTAGCTGGAGGGATCTCTAGCTTTGATTGTTAGTTAGAGGCTGAGTAGCAGCCTGGATGTGATAGCCAAGTGAGTCAAATTTAGGACAGAGTTGAGAGGCTCTGCAGACCAGCTGTGTGGGATTTCCCCCTGTTTTAGAACTTTAGAGAAAGATCTAAAAGCAGTGGGTGGAGGTGAGGTTTGGCTGGTCTGTACTCATAGAGGATCCTGGCCAATTCCCAACAGGAGGCTTGGCAAGAGGCCAGGACAGTCTTAAAGAATAACTGAGCCTGCTGAGCAGGAGAGTTCGGGTGGAAGATGAAGAGAAAGTGAGCCTGAAGAGCAGGAGCCTGGGAAGGGGCTCTGATGGAGAGGGATTCACCTCCAGGCAGGAATCTTGGATGGAGGAAAGCTTGGGACTTAATCAACCCCTGAGAGAGGACCACTTGTGTGGCAGGGAAGAAGCAGCCCAGCTAGAAGGCCTGGTAGCAGCCACTGACCCACCAGCAACATAGGATAAGGACTAAGCGAGTAAACCTGCACCTCCTGGGCCAGATAGGGTATGGAGCACTCTGGTGGGAAATCAGATTAGCAACTACCCAGAACTGTCTTACTTTAAAGTGGCAGGCACTGGATCCCCTACACAGGGATTCACCCAGATTGGCTGGATTAGGAGATTCTAGGGTCTGGGGTGGTACAACCAGAGATGCTGGCTAGCTCTCCAAGAAGAGGAACTTGCTGTAAAAAACTTCTATATAGTTCCAGGAAGTTGTTCACAGTTCCACTGGGCATCCCATACACCCCTAACCCTATCCCAGTTCAAATCCCCCTTATGAAATCCACAAAACGAGCTCAAGGACTGTTAAGTGTCTCCTGGATGCAAATTATTGGGAAAATGCATGTTGTCTGGCTGTGCAGGACTATAGGGGGACTCAAAACTGTAGCGACTCCTAAGGGGGTAGTGCTACACATCCTATTTGTAGATTTAGCAAATTGCTTCTTGAATTTCTTGACAATGAAAAGATAAAGCTATTCTGAAGAATCCACGGTATATTTCCACAGTAACTTAACCTCCTCTAGTGTGCTTACTCCTCCTGCATGTTGCTGGGCATGCAGATCAAGCAGAACTATGGGGTTGATTTGCTAAAAGCAAATAGACTGTGCACCTTGCAAAGTGCAGTTGCACTCTGCAAATGCAGTTGATGCAGAGTTTAGTGAATGAGTGAAAGATTCACTTTGCAAAGAATACCCAATCACGTGCCAGAAAAATAGAAAAAAAATGCATTTTTGCTTGCACATGAGTGGATGATGGAAGTCACTGCATTTGCAGAGTGCAACTGCACTTTGCAAAGTGCACAGTTTATTTGCATTTAGTAAATCAACCCCAGTGTCCTTTTTACCATGAATCTGTGGAATACGATGTGAACTTAATTTTTCACAGTCACCTCTGACTATGAATATTATAATTTTTAGAAGCTCAGTAAGGAAAGCTTATGTCAGCAGCCTAAGCAGGGAAACAAAAGCAAGCCATAGAACATGCAGTTTTCTTTCCTGCATCCAGGGGCCAACAGGAATCGCATGCAAAAAATCAGACAGGCTGGTTGTCCTGAAGTCAGTCAATGGATCGACTTCAGTAAAACCAGCCTGGCCAAAGATGGATCGAATGTTGGCTGAACTGCCAGTGTTTGACATACAAAATGTTGATTTTAGATATGCTTTAACAGATCTGCTCATAAAAAGGTAATGAAAGTGTGGGAGAGTGAGCAAGTAAAATGTGAAAGCCACACAGTCCTGAGAAAGTCTATTTTGGTTTTTTTTTAGTAACATGTTGATGATTTTTCTCAAGGAATCACAATGGAGGGCCCATAAAAACTATAAATAGAGTCACAAGACAGGAAGGAAAATTATTGTCTCTTTCAATTTTTTGACCTTCCAGTTATATTTTGGTGTCTGTGCAGGATGGCATTTTCAGATTTTATTAAAGAATATTCCCGTCTGGAGATCTGTAACCTGAGTCCTGACACTCTGACCGGTAATGACCAGCACAAGTGGAATACCACTCTGTTTAACGGGACTTGGGCTCGAGGGTCCACAGCAGGAGGGTGCCAGAATTACCCAGGTAAAAGACGCACTTGGATTCCTTGGGACATTGGAGCTGCAGCCTCTTCATGGGTGGGGCAGCATTTCCATCCTTCCAATTCTCTATACAATGTCTACACACTGTTAAAGGAGATCTATGATCATTGTAATAACAATGCAAACAATAGTTATTTTTGACAATCCAGTATAAGCTTACTTCTCTTTCCACAACTCCCTGGATTCCCTGCATACTTTTCAGCTTCTCCTCTGCTGCTTACTTTCTATTTCTAAGGACTACATATCCCATGGTACCTTGCTGCGTACAAGTAGTAATTCCTGTAGGCATGTAGTTCAGAAGGCAGGCTCTGTGAAATGTGTGGCATAGTGAATACGTGCCATAGAGTTCAAGGAAGTGAATGTGTGGGGATCCTCACAAAGTACATTTTCAAGATCATTTAGATTAATAGGAGTAGGCTAGAAATAATTGAAATACAACGTAGAAATTAATATATGATCTTATATTTTGACCATTAATACAATATGCAATTCATTGTGTCTATTCCGGTAAATAATTAAATGGCATGATGGAAAAAATGCTATCTTTAAAAAAACATACACTGGTGCTATCTTTCAATTGTACTTTTTGCTTTTACACAATTATGGCACCATTGGTGGAGCTTAAACTAAACCTACAGTGTAAACCAAATAACACAAAAGTAAAGTTTTGGCCAGGATATGGACATTTAAGTATTTACACATTTCTAACAAGTAGTGAATTGTCTTTAACACAAGCCAACTCTGACCTCTGTAGCTGCTGACACTGTGGAGAAATCAATCCCCAAAGTTCACAATAGAGGCAATGAAGTCATTCAAGTTATTCTCTCACTGTATCTCTGCTCCCCTTGATCCTCCTCCCAGAGCACTTGCTCTGTATTCTAATTAGGATTAGAAGGCTGCTGAGTCAAAGCTGGAAGGACATAAGGAGGGAACTGAACTGCTGAGTTACTGTTGGGGGGAAACAGAATGATCAGAGTTGCCGGGTCACTGCTGAGTGTGGAAGCTGAGCTGCAGAGTCACTGCTGTGAGGGGCAGCAGGGTGAGCTAAACTGCAAAGTCACTATTGTGAAGTTGGGGGTGGTCTATGCTGTTGGGAGAGGGGTAGAGGGTGAGCTGGGCTACTATGTCACTACTGGAATGGAGGAGCAGGGAGAGCTGACCTGCTGGGCAAACGCTATGAAGAGATTTAGTGCTTCTACAGTGAAATTTTATGAAAAATACTCCACAGTATCTGCAGTTTCAGAGGTTATTGAGAGCATGTGATAAATCCACTACTTGTTATATGAATACGGGCCTGACCACAGATTCACTTTAAAGTGTTTGCCTGTTACTTACATAGCAGTGCTTGCCTCACCAGTTTGCCATTAAAGTCCTCTGTAAAACCACCCATTGGTTTCAGTGCATGAGTCTGGTGAAGGGTCTCTCAGCACTTGGCCGCCTGTTGCCGGGCCCACACATTGAATAATTACAGCAGCCAGGTAAAGCCCAGTCCTTCCTCATATGACAGACTAATCTTTCTTTACTGAAAAGGACTCTTTATACCGTACAGGCCTTTGTATTTGTATGAATGAGCCTTTAAAGTATATCTTCAGTCAAAATTTTTTTAATAATTTTGAAAACTGTAGAGGTGTGGGTAAAACAGTTATTATTAATAATATTATTATGATTTGCCATCCGTGTCTAATTAGGGAGATTTCTTTTTGCTTCCTATCCTGTAGATTAAAAAAAAAAGAAGTGAGGTCATATCTTTCCATAACTCCCAACTGTCCCTGATTTCGAGGGACTGTCCTACTTTTGAACAAATTCCCTCCTTACCTCTTTCCTCCTCATTTTTCCCTCATTTTGGTCTGATCTGTATAGTTGTATGTAAAATGCACTATTTATCTTTCAAAAAGTGTTTTACAGTGCTAAATCTTTCATCCAATTTCTAAATTGCTGCATTTGTAAATTTCAAAAACCACTTGTGACTTTAGCTAATCTTTTTATATAATTTTCCTTTAAGGGGGCATGGCAGGGGGGTGTCTTATGCTTACATTAATTTGCTAATAAGTGTCCCTTGTTCTCATCTCAAAAAGTTGGGAGGTACATCCTTCCAATGTGAGGAAACAAGTAAACAAGTGTCCCATTGGAAATTTTACATCTACAACTATTCTGGTGGCAACTCAAAATTTTAGTACTGCCGACCCTCCTGTACAGATCTTAGGCCCTATCAGTTCACCAGGGGGACATGGCAGATGACAAGTAGGGAGAATCAGATCCTGGACAAGAGGGGGTGATCGGTGCTGTGTTTAGGGGACATTCATTAGAACTGATCATCTGTGGCTCTGCAGCAGCTGAAATCCAGCTTCTCATTCACTCCCTCCTACCTGCTTTCAGCTGCTGCAGGAGAGCCACAGAGGATTGGTTCCAGTAAATGCCCCCGTGCAGCACTGATCACCCCCTCCTGTCCTCCTGTTCCCTCTGCTGCCTGGGCCTCCCTTTCCCCCGCCCTACATGTTTACAATGCTTCATTTTGCGAATGAACAAGAAGCTTCTGTGCAGAGTACTCCCTCTTCATTCATCTTCAGTGAAGCTGAAGCTGCAGAGAAAGGATTGGGGATCTGTGTCCTCAATTCCTTTCCCAGTTGCAAAAGTGAGACATCAGGGGCCGGTTGAAAACTCGAATACTTTAACAAAGTCCCCCCCCCCCCACCAACAGTGTTGTGTTGGTGGGGGTAATTTTTAAAAATAATGCCTGCCAAATTATGAGCTGTGGCTGTGTTCATACAGCTGCCGTGTCCCCACAGCACAATCAAAGCTGCCTGTACACAGCTCCAGCCACATTAAAAAAAACGCTAATTCACACTGCACAGGCCACAGCACCAATGTGAACGAGTCCCCAGACCCTATTCACACACAGAGCTTTATTTATTACCTCAATACAGTGTTATCTATTAGATTTAGCTGGAATTTTGTACGTTATGTTGGGTTTGTGTCTGCTAATAATGATTTTAGTGTATTTTTAGCAAAAAAATAATTTTGATGTTTTATGGGGGAGGGAGAAGAGGGCCCTGTTAGGTAGGCTGTATGGGGTCCCATGATTTCTAACAGCAGCCCTGGTGGTTCTAAGCCTTCACCAGTCTATAGGAATCTTAGAAAAAAAGTTTTGCCCTATACTGTAAGGTTGTCCTGATTTTAAAGGGTGAGTTGGAAATGTTGAAAGTGTACAGTGAATATTTTCTACTTATATATGTTATTTCTATTGTACACAGCGACATTCTGGACGAACCCCCAGTTTCGGATGAAACTGGAAGAACCAGATCATGATCATGATGGATCCTCCAAAGACCCTTGCTGTACCTTTATTGTGGGCCTCATGCAGAAGAACAGGAGGCGACAGAGAAAAATGGGCGAGGATTTGTTGAGTATTGGCTTTGCATTGTACAAGGTTAGTGACCACTTTGTCCTTCGAAAAGTTGGTCTCTTCTCTAAAAGTCTCTTCATTTTGGAATGTGGTTACTTTTGGTAATACAGTTGGAGGAGAGGTCAGGGTTTTTGCCTCTACTTTAGTTCTAGCCTTCCATATTATACCATCAGTATATGCAATCTTTTGTTTTAGAAATACACATTAAATGCATGACATAGTAATCCCGAAGCACTATGGTTTAGCCAAAAAGACAGCATTTGCTTTGCATCCTCCAGTGGCAGAATGAAATCTCCTACTGAGCCACCTGATAAGAGATGAGTCATTGATATAACATAGTTGCCAACTTTCCCATATTTGCCAGGACAGGAGTGCTTTTTGTGTAATTGTCCCACACTGTCTATGTCCCGATCTGCGTCCCAGGAATGAAAGGGCATCTCTCTTTTGGCAAGTGTCCATGATGAGAATCAAATAAAATTACTGTTCTGACTCCTGACTGAGCTCCACACAGCTGCAGCTCAAAGGACTTTTTTGTATGCGAAGTAATACAGTGTCACATAAGCTGACACTTCTTGTACAGTTCTGGCAGCGTACTCCCTGTTCATTCATCTTCGGAGGGATATGCCATCCACCTCTCTGAACACAGGCTGCTTGATGTCTTTACTTTGGCTTGAAGAGCAATAGGAGGGAACCCCTCCTGGGCTGCCTGGCTTACCTTATTGTATATGTAAGGTACTTTATAGGCATTCTGTGCTAAATAACCTCTACTATACCATGTCATGTGTCCAGCGTCCATTGTCCTGCATCTAGTGTCCTGCATCCAGTCCTGTTTATCCTGCGTCCATTGACCTGTGTGCTGGCTCCAGTGACCTGTGTTGTGAGTCCATCCCCACCTTTCACCCCGCTTTTGTGCAGTGGTGTAGGCTTTTCAGTGGTAAAACATGCTTCAGAGGCAACATATCACCTCCATCCACTTGTCAACTGGCCCCTGAAAAGAAATCCACCATGGAACGCTTTTCAGAGCAGTGGCAAGGGCTGCCGAAAGTTTAAACAAGCCCTACAAGTTGTAACTAGATAATACATTCATAAATATTTTTACTAATAAACAGTGCCTTCTTGACTGTGTTTCTATCCTTATACATTTCACTGTATATACAGTATGTTAAAATTTTCTTGTACATTAAAAGCACTATCTATCTCTCCAGCACCTTAGAAAAAAGGGGGGTGGATTCCAAGAAGAGACCAGAGTTCAAATAGATGATAGCCTATGGATAAATTCTTGGTGGTGCAGCCTCCTCAGACTGGGAAATCATCAAAACTGTAAAGGAAGCACTCAGATGGCGCAAACACCTAGCGCATTATCCAAGGTTTATTGTACAAGAAAAAAGACAAAAAACATACTCACAATATGAAGTACATGCAAAAGCCTTAACGCCACATAGCTGGCTCACAATGATGGCTTAGTGTCCGACTGGTGGTGAGGTCGGCCCTCTGACGCATTTCGGGGTCATGTCCCCTTCCTCAGAGCTCAAGGAAGGGGACATGTCTCCGAAACACATCAGCAGGCCAACTGTTCCACCATTCGGACACTCTGCCATCATTGTTTTTTTTAATCTTTTTTTCTGAGGCGCTGGAGAGATAGAGCTTTTAATGTACAATAAAATTTAAAAATTTTGCATGTACTTTATATTGTGAGCATGTTTTTGTCTTTTTTTTCTTGTACAATAAACCTCGGATAATGCGCTAGGTCAGTGGTTCTTAACCTTCCTAATGCCGTGACCCTTTAATACAGTTCCTCATGTTGTGGTGACCCCCAACCATAAAATTATTTACCCAGTAATTATAATTCATGAGTGTCGTTTTACCTCCAATACTGCTGCTTTCAACACAGTAGCTGCTTTTAACAGAGTAGCTGCTTTCAACACAGCAGCTGCTTTCTACACAGTAGCTGCTCTTTTCACATCGGAAATATGTGTTTTCTGATGGTCTTAGGGGACCCCTGTGAAAGGGTCGTTCGACCCCCAAAGGGGTCGCGACCCACAGGTTGAGAACCACTGCGCTAGGTGTTTGCGCCACCTGTGTGCTTCCTTTATTGTACATTAGGTTAACAAAATGATTTTTTTGTAGACCTATGCCCATTTTAAATGTCCCTTTAAACTGTTTTGAAATGTTGACAACTATGCTATAATGGCTCATTTCAGTTTTGCAAACTGGGGGCTTCTTTCAGCTTACCTGTAACCCAAAATAGCCGAATATGTGAAAAGGAGACTAGAACTCCATCTACTGGCTAGTTAGCAGAATATACAATATTAATATGGAATTCTTTACATTTCTTTAACTGCAAAACAGGAAGGGTTGTATTTCCTTACTCTTGAGTGTAAGAAAACAAAATATGTGCAAATCATTGCATTTTGCCTTTGAAGTTTAAAAACTTGAAATGTTCTTTGACAAAGAAATGATTGGATATAGAACTACATACGCCGATATATTTAGCCCAAATGGTCAATAATCCTGTTTCCGCAGTGCATGGCTTCCCCCTGAGATGGTATTTACGAGGAACAAATTAAAAAGAAATATTAAAAGACTAGAAATTATTTTCCTCGAAGGTAGGGATTTTTCCTGCAGGCTTTTCTGCTCTCTTCTATTATAGGTTTCCAGTTTAGGACAATGGAGAATGGGGAAAGGTTTAAACTTCTGACAGTGCTTTTTATTATTATTATTATACAGGATTTATATAGCACCAACAGTTTGCACAGCACTTTACAAAATGAAGGCAGACATTAGAGTTACAATACATTTTGGTTCAAGAGGAAACAGAGGGCCCCGGAAGGGTTGAGTGATACAAAAGTTAATAGCTGTGGGGGGATGCGCTGATGGAGGAAATAAATGGCAGTTTACTGGGTAGAAGCAGGATAGGCTTCTCTTATTATACAGGATTTATATAGTGCCAACAGTTTGCGCAGCGCTTTACAAAATGAAGGCAGACATTACAGTTACAATACAATTTGGTACAAGAGGAAACAGAGGGCCCTGCTCGTTAGAGCTTACAATCTAGGAGGAAGGGTTGAGATTGCTGTCTTTACCTTCCTGTGTGAAAAGAAAGCTTTTGTTTAAAGGTGATCTATCATAATTTGTATTTTACAGTTTTGTCCCCTATTGGAAAAGTACATGTAGTAGTACTTTGTTTTTAACACGATTTATGAAGTTTGACTTGCCCCCTACCCTCCTGCCGCAGCTGATCTGACAACAGCTTTGAAGGAGACGGTTGATTCATAGCTGCAGCTTGTCTTCACCATGAGCACTTTCCACAGGCAAGCAATGGCAACAGGAATGCAGAGGCTGGCATGACTATAGCACCCCCCACCCAAATCACCTCTTGCAGTTTGTTGCCTGTGGAAAGTCTTCAAAGCTGAAACAAACTTCAGCTATGAGGTCGGGTTGGCACTCATAACTAAGGTTAGAAAGCACTTAAAAATGTGGGACTAAGTACCGATTGTACTTTGTCCCGTAGGGGATGGAATTGTAAAATACAAAATATAATGATAGAGCTTTGAGTCTAAGTCCTCATGCACACTGGACGTTTTTACAGCGGCTGTTTTTGGCTTTTGAAGTTTTTGTTCTACAGCCAGTAAACTCCCCAGCATGTTATCCTATGTGTCCATGCACACATAGACTGGAATTTATTTATTTCAGGTACTTCAATAGCGCTGTCAATTTACACCGCGCTTTACATATACAGTATATTGTACATTCACATCAGTCCCTAACCCTCAAGGGGCGTACAATCTAAGGTCCCTAACTCACATTCATACATACGTATACTAGGGACAATTCAGACAGGAGCCAATTAGCCTACCAGCATGTCTGTAATCAACATTTTTTGGCAGGGGCGTTTTTTGGTTGGAAAAAAAACCCCGAACTAGTGGGTTTCTAGAGGAGTTTTTTTTTAGCTGTAAAAACGCTCTAATGTTGAAAAACATGGCAAAATGTGGTAAATCGTGTCAAACCAGCATTTTCGTGGACTTTTTTGACCAAAAAAAATACATTTTTTGTAAAAAAAAAACTCTAAAAAATGCTAAAATCGCTGCTAAACGCTAATACAAAAATGCTAAAAAAACTCACTTTTTTAATGTGACTTTACACAGCTAGCATTACCGGCATTATTAAAATGCCCTGTGTGCATGGAGCCTAAACCTGGCCTAAGAGACATTACATGTACATTTTACCATAATCCTGTTTTCCTGGCCAACTTAAAGCCAAAAATCTTTTTAGTTTTTGAAAAAAGTAGGGTAGAGTTGAATTGTCTCTCAGGTTTTTATTACCAGCCATGTCCCTATTGGAAAGGAATTCCCCTAACTTCCTATCCGGACAGAAAGTGATGGGAAACATATGCCAATGGGGACACAGACAAAACACATTTCTGTCAGAGTGGAGTAAGGGTTAGAACTTCTGGCAATGTTTTTATTTCTGTCTTTGCCTTCCTGTCCTGGTACAAACCCACAAAACCATTTCCTGCACAGGCGTCACAAGCAAATGAAGTGGGGAATATTTTTCGCAATGGGTTCACTGGTGGAAATAATATCCTACAGCATTGCTCTTCCCCACTGTATCCAAAGCTTTAAAGCTGAGCAGATACAGTTTAAACAAGAGGCATGTGTATTCTTAGTTAAATCTTGGTGATAATACAGTGTGAAAATCTGCCTCTGTGTGGGAATTTCTTAGAAATAAAGACCAGTCTCTGTCATTGAAAACCAATTAATCCATTCTGGAGGTCAGAAAAAAGTAAAAAAAAAGTCTTTTATCTTTTCAAAACTATTTATAAAGTGTACTTTAAAGGCATAAGTACTGCACAGGGACATAATTAAAAAAAAATTGTAAATGCATCGAAAACCAATTAATCCTTTCCGGAGGTCAGAAAAAAGTAAAAAAAAAGTCTTATCTGTTCAAAACTCTTTATAAAGTGCACTTTAAAGGCATAGTGCTATACAGGGACATGACTAAAAAAAAAATTGTAAATGCACTGAAAACCAATTAATCCGTTCGTATTGCGTAAAAAAATTCATAAACCGAGGCATTATTTTCAATGGATTTTCATTCGTAAACCGAATATTACGTTAACCGAGGCGTTCGTAAACTGAGGTACGCCTGTACTGGGCGAGTTAATTGTTTGTAGAAATTTGTAGAATCAGGGGTCCATCCCGCCTTTACAATTGTATTTAACACTGACTTTGTCTATAGTAACATTATCCATACCTAATTTATATGACCAAATACTTTTTTTTTCCTTGCAGGTTCCAAAAGAGGTACATTGGGTTTGATGCCATTCCAACTACCAACACCACACATTGCATTTAAATAATGATGAAAAAAATTTGTGTTGCTGGTGCTTATGATGGAATTCTTCCAGTTCTCATCGGAATAAGTTGTTTTATTATTTTGTAATCTGTACCATGTGCAGCTGAGATGGTAGTTTACATTTTCTGTTGAAGGGTTAAGTTTTGTGGATGTCAGTATATTACAAGGTGATATCAGCAATGTCAGCATTGACTGGAGGGACCTTTTTAGAAACAAAAATAACATTTTTGGGCCCCCGGTCACACCATTGCAATAGAACGTGTGTGTTCTTCAAAGAACATAATGTGTTTAAATGTATCGCAGCACAAGATGAATTTTACGCATGTTCTGCGAACGTTCTATATGAATTTTCTTCCTGGGAAACTAGACATGTGATTTAAGAAAGTAATTTAAATGAACATTGTATTTTCAATGCATTATCTATGCATTTTTACCAAAATTCACAAAAGATGGAGTAAGCCAGATTTGTCAAAGACACAACACACTGCCCTCTAATGCAACACACTGATGTGAACCGTTTTATAGATTATATTGGTTACTAGTATATATTTTAGCATGCTATGATCTTGCATTATAGCGCACATAAAATGCGATGGTGTGACCGTGAAATGTTTGGTTTCTGTTTATTCTATTTACTGTTCTATACTGGGGAAATTTAAAATACATTTGAAAAAGCAACATTTCATATTATTGACATAGAAAATCCTTAATAATACATAAATTTTTAATGGACATACTGTCAACAACCTGATCCTCAAAATTTCTGGTTAAAGTGCAGAAAAATCAAGTCTTGAACTTGTTAGAAAATTTGACTTCATCAGAAGAGTCATTTGCCCAGCACAGCCCACTCTCCTTGCACGTCATAGTCCTCTCCACCCCTCCTTACACCTCCTTACATAACCTACAGGAATCTTCTGGGGAAGAAGTGAAGAGAATACTATAGAGTGTCACTTGGTTGACAGTTCTGAGTCTTTTATGGCTGCTGACATCACATCCAAGATGGTAGCACCCAGCATCAGTTTCAGGCCTTTTGGATGTCTACACAAGGGAGGCTTATTAAGATACATAACATAGCATAAAATAAGTTAAAGCAGAGCTCCACCCAAAAGGGGAAGTTCCACTTTAAGCCTTTGTCCCCCACTCCCCATTAAGGATCGGCACCTTTGGGGAGCAGGGATCCATATTTGACAGGTACCCGCCCCCACTTCGCTTAGGCGATCGGAAGCGGAAGTTGTCCTCCCCCCCTCCCTCCCCGTAGTCTTCTGGGACACGTGACAGGTCCCAGAAGACTATGGGGCCATTCACATGTGCAGTGGGCACCTGCCTGTAAAGCCACAAACTGTCACAGCCGATTGTCCACACAGAAGATGCTGGTGCCAGGGAGAGAAGACGGCCATTGAAACCAGTCGTGGTGAGGACAGCGCTGGACCGAGGGACAGGTAAGTGTCTGTATTATAAAAGTCTACAGTTTTTGTAGCTGCTGACTTTTATTTTTTTTTTTTCAGGTGGAACTCCGCTTTAAATACACATATAACCTTTAAAGTATTGATCTCGGTTTCTTGAGTTTATGTTGAAACGCAAATATTTTGGGGGTTTGATAGAGTGGGGAGGGATTAGAACCTCTTTCAGATTCTTACTGCTTTCTGTGGCTCCGTTAGAAGGATATCCTCTCACTTTGTGCCAATTATGAAGGGAGGGAAAACCCACAACAGGGACACAGACTGCAACAAAAAAACTGCCATCTTTCCCCTACTCTACAAAAGAAATGGGGGTAATCTTTAAGTTTTGCCTAGGGCAGCAGGATATCCAAGTACCACTCTGATTGGTGGGTTGCCTTGATCTGTTTGGCCGTTCTCTTTCTCTTTTAATTTCAATTGCTTTAGTCATTATTCTGTTACTCATTCGATCTCTTTTCCTTTTTCTCAAGGATTAGTTTCCCTGCCATATTTTTATTGCTGGATCTAAGAAAAGATGATGGTGGCACAATGTAGAGTCCCTTGTAAGTAAAACTTTGTTGTTCCAAACAGGCAACCTGAAGCCCAGCTGAGGACCTTCTTTTTATAGGAGAAGGTCCCACTTGATAGGGGGCTTACTGTTGCTTGTCCAGACCAATAAAGTTTTACTTACAAGGGATTCCACTGGACCCCCACTGAATTCAAAAGCTCCGGGCTGAGTGCTAAGTATAAAAAGGTTTCCCTCCATCTCCAAAGCTGAATATATGCAAGAAAAAGCCAGCGCTCTAGTATATCAGCATAGACAGACGTCCTTTAATATAAGCTGGTAAAGTACAGCCGCAAAGAACAGCCAACACATTTCAGCTGTTAGGCCTTAATCAGGTCATGATTCACCTGTTCACAGTGTGCTGCTAGTTTCTTTCTTGGATCCATGGATAGTTTAGGGCAAGGACGAGCCCCTGCTCTGGTTTTAGCACCCGACAGCCAAGGAGGTGATCCAGCTTACCGGGTTTGGGAGAGGCAGACTGTTTCTTAGGTTTTATTGCTGTCTTTGTCCCTATTGGGGTGACTCAGCTATTCTATTTTTCCTGGTCACCATTGCCATTGGCACAAACCGGGTATAGAAATGCAAATTATTACACTTAGCACCAGATTGTAGTAAAAATTACATTTCTCAATGGGACCAACTGCTTCTCTCACTACTGAGAAATTTCCTTCACTTCCTGTTGTATCTCTATGGCAGGATGTAAAAGGAAATCTGCCCAAAGAGACAGAAAAAAAGTGACAGGGTTTTAGGCATTTGTTTCCCTATCCAAAATTTATGTTTTGGTTTTAGATACACTTTAATCTTGTCTATCTTTTAGTTTCAGGACCAAACAGAAGTCACCTTTGGCAGGGATTTTTTCCAGAGGAATCTCTCCGCTGCTCGATCTGACACCTACATCAACATGCGGGAAGTCTCCAAGCGCATGAAGTTACCCGTGGGGGATTATCTCATTGTACCATCCACTTTTGAACCTTTTAAAAATGGAGATTTCTGCCTGCGTGTCTTCTCTGAAAAAGCTGCCAAATCCCTGTGAGTCTATATGGCAGGTCATAGGACTTACTGTGGCGAGTTCCTACCCATCAATCCAATAAGATAAATGTTTGACATGATCTTTTGATGGTGCCGGTACAGTTAGTAAGGGTCATTGAACATTTCTAGCTAGAAATATAGTTGTGAATAGTGTTTCTTAAACTGTCAAAATGTTTTAGTTTTTGCAAAAGATTAGAGTATCTGTTGACTTTTTTTTAGCTTTATTTGTCATCAGAGGAGATATCCCCCTGCTTCCAATCCCTATGACGGTGGTCAAGTGTACAAGATCTCTGTACATTGACAGTGTGTGAAACAATGTATGTATTGTTAGTAAAATATAACCTAGGTAAAGAATAAAAGAAACCCTACAATTTATACTAGTTCAAGAAAAAAATATATCTATATATATCATAGCTAATGAAAAAAAATCACTATATACTAGTTAGAGAACAGTATATGCTAGTTTAAGAATGACAAAAAAACCCTACAATATATATCCCAGTTATAATACAAAACTACAATACAGTGGCGTCCTGAGGCAGGTGCGGGGGGTGCGGTCCGTACCGGGCGACACTGACCACACGGATCCAATCCGTCCTGCGGGGATCATCGGCTTTCTTTACAACTTACCTTTTCTTGGAGCAGGTCCGGTGTCATCCCGTATAGGTTGCATGTGGACGATTCTGCAGGAATTGTCGGCATGCAACCTATACGAGGTGACACCGGTGTAGCGGCAAGATGTGTCTCCCATGTAGATGTCCCCCTGAAGCAACTGCGCATGTCCCGGTTTCAGGTACGATCAATCGTGATAGAACTACTGCTATCATCGATTGATCGTGTCTGAAACCGGGACATGCACAGTTGCTTCAGGGGGGACATATCTACATGGGAGACACATCTTGCCGCTACACCCGGACCCGCTCCAAGAAAAGGTAAGTTGTAAAGAAAGCCGACAATCCCCGCAGGATGGATCGGATCTGCGGATTGAGCATAATGGATCGGAGTCCGATCCATTATGCTCAATCCGCAGATCCGATGCATTCTGTGGGGATCGTCGGAGGGAATGTCACCAAGTTTTATCGCACTGGGTGTCACCAACCCTAGGGACGCCTCTACAACAATATATCCTAGTTAAAGCGGAGTTCCACTCGACCTATCAAAAAATAAAAGTAAGCAGCTACAAAAACTGTAGCTGCTGACTTTTAAAAAACAGCCACTTACCTGTCCCTCGGTCTCACAGTGTGTCCCCCGCAGTTCATTTCACTGGCCGTCCTGTATTTCAGGAGGCCAGCATCTTCAGTGTGGGCACCCGGCTGTGATAGATTGTGGCTTCACAGCCGGGTACCCATTGCGCATGCGCAAATAGCGCTGCACTTTGTGAATGGTCCTGTAGTCTTCTGGGACCTGTCACATGTCCCAAAAGACTACATGGAGGGAGAGAAGGAGGACACCTTCCACTTCCGATCGCTTAGGCCTAGGCCCCCCTGCTCCCCAAAGGTGCCAATCCTTAATGGGGGAGCGGGGGAGCAGTCCTTAAAGCAGAACTTCCCCTTTTAGGTGGAGCTCCGCTTTAAAGAATCTAAAAACTACAATATATCCAAGTTAAATAATAATAAAACCACACTACATCCTAATTAAATAATACAAAACACAACACATAACCTAGTTAAAGAATAAAAAAAACTACAACATATCCTTGTGAAAGAGTAAAAAAAAATAACAATATATCCTAGTTAAAGAATTACAAAAAACTACAATATCTATAACAGTAGATCCCTCCCAGCAGCAAATGACACCCCCCCCCCCCCCCCCCCCAGCAACATAACCCTCCCTTTTTAAAAAATAGTAGCAGCCAGCATCAATAGACCCTCCAGTGTCATCCCAGCACCTCTTGTCATAACATACATTTAGTGCTGGAGGTGCCAAAACTGCATTCCTCCCCACATTCCTTTTGAAAAAAGCTCTACATATTAGTTTTAAACCCTATAGGCTTAAAAATAAAATAAATGTAACCCAAAACCATTATAGTTTGCTACTAATGTTATTTTTTTGTGTGGTTTTTTTTCTCCCAGGGAAGTTGGAGATGTAGCGATAGGAAGTCCTTATGAGGTGGGTGCTTATTTAGCCCAAAATATTTTGTCTTAAATGATACAGTGTCATTCTATAGCTTTCTGAGCTTTGATCTTTTATTTCAGCTTTGGTTATGCAACAGTAGAAATTTGTCTGTGTAAAACTAGCTGAGGGATGAGGAGGTACTAAATAAGGGGTGGGTTGCCCCAGCTTTCCTACGTTTCCACAGAGAGGTCCCCTTTCAGCCTAAAATTAAACTCCCATTTACAGTAACAGTTATTATTTATTAAAAGAGGAATTTAAAATATAAATCTGCGCTAAAAGCATAAAATGCAAATAAATAGCAGCTGAACACTACACCTCGATACCAGGCAATCAAAAATAATGTACATATAAAGTGCAAAGTCACAAACAATTAGTGAAACATTTTAAGCAATAATGAAAAACGATGTTTTTTTTTTCATTAATTGTTTGAAATTTTTCACTAATTGTTTGTGACTTTGTTAAGCGCTGCACTTTATATGTACTGTACAATATTGTATATTAAAGCTGTGTTGCTATACATAAGTAACCCAGGCAATCTATCCCTGAAAAAGAAGAGTTTAAATACTGACCTGTCCTGCTTCCCATGTCACCAAACACAGCTTGGGTCCTGAGAAATCATCTCCCTAAGTTTGCTAGAAAACTGACACTTCTTGAAGTGTCAATCTCCTGGCTCTACTGCAGTTCTCATTGGTTCCTCCTGCTGATTTACTGTTTCTCCACCACCTCCTCGAGGAATGGACACAACAGGTGATACTGGGGGGAGGATCATGAGCTGCATCGTTCTGCACAAAGGTTTGCGGCCATGGAGGTTGGTTTGTAGGGAGGTGTTGGAGATGCTAGACAGATTGTTGCTCATAACAGCCAAACTTTGCCTTGTTCATAACCCTTACAAAGGAAGCCACAAGAACAATGGAACTCCAGATGGCTGAATTTTATCATATTTTCATGACAAATTGGAGGCCTAAAGCCATTATATAATGGTTCAACATATTCTTAAGAATAACGCAAAACGTTTCCGGAATAAACACCGTTTAGAAATAAAAAAATCTGCATTACATAAATGTATAAAAAGTTAAGTATAAGAGGATTTCATGTTACTGAAGAGGGCTGAAACATTAAAGTGTTACTAAACCCAGGACTCTGTATTCTGGTCTCCCACAGTACACAACATGGAAATGCAATTATTTTAGTAAATATAAACTGCTAAATACCTTTTCTCATCAGCAGTTAGAGCAGTCTTGGGACTTCAGCAGAGCACTGCTTAAAGCTTGTAGGAGGAGTTTTCTTTCTGCTCTAGGAGGATGCAGGACCCCTGATCTCTGTCTGGACAGTGCTGATTGGCCCTGTGCTGATCACACACCTCTCTAGCAATACACACTAAACTGAGCGTGTGCATGTGGATACCGGTTCAGTCTGTCTTATCAGGAGATAAGATGTGGACATTTGAGCAAGAGGAGGGGCAGAGAAGAAAGGAACAAACGGCCTTTTTACACAGTCTTGTGACTTCTATCAGTGTCCAGCTGAGCACTGGTTAAAGCTTGTAGGAGGAGTTTTCATTCTCCCCTGATTGTCCTATGAGGCTGCAGGACCTCTGACCCTCTGTCTGTACAATGCTGATTGGCCCTGTGTTGATCACATGCACCCTCCGAAAGAAAAAAAAACTCTAGCCATATATACAGTAAACTGAGCATGTGCAGCTTGCCCCCAAGGCTCTGTTCTATCAGCAGATGTATTGGGGACTGTGGAAGAAGGGGAGGATCAGAGAAGACAGGATCAAACAGCCTTTTTACACAATGCAGAGGATTAACCCCTTACATTCCACAGTGAGTATAACAAGCATGCTTTACTGCATATACAGACTGATTTTACTGTTGTGGGTTTAGTAACACTTTAACAAATAGGGATTTCATTTAGTGTATATTCAAGCTGCGATGATCTCACAAGAATGTGGTAATGGTATAATAAAGGAGACTGATTGTTTAGAGCTAAATTTGCTCCCCCAACATCCAGGTAACATCATGGATTAACTGTTTATTTTTTTCCTCAGCCTCAAGTATCTGACAAAGATGTGCCTGTCGACTTCAAGAATATTTTCCAGAAATTGGCAGGGGATGTAAGAGAATTTCAGTACTTTTATTGGAATAGAGATAAATTCATCAGTGATAGACAGTAAAGGATATGTAGTATTTTGTAGATGAGGCTAGTGCTACAGATCCAGGAAACTTACTGAATCATATACAAATATGCCGCCTTACCTAAAGTATAACCAAAAGCAGACATTAAGTCCACTTTCAAAAATTAAGGAGGAGTTAAGAAAGGTAGGCCTTGGAATTAAAACTAGATTTAACTCACCTGTCCATAGTAACAAAGAGATCTTGTAATGCTCCAGTTCTGCGTTACGTCAGTGGCACGCAGAGGCGCCATGGTTAGAGTGAATAAAGAGTCTGCTGACATCTGCACCCGCTGTGCAATACTGCTGGAAGCCACAAAAATGATTGACTAATTTAGAATACATGATCTGTAATGGAAGGAAACAGTCAGATATGTTTATATTATCTCCTATACTCCTACCAAACCTCCCCAATGCCTCCCCGATTGTTTAAAGTGGACCCGAACTTTGAGTGTAGGTCCATTTTAAAGATGTGTTTAAAGATTTGCTGCAGAATTTGAGTTTGCTTTACTCCAACTGGGTGAGATGCTTCAGTCTATCATAGTATATATTATGTATACAAAGGAATCTACTTCCAAAGAACAAATACAGCATCTATCAGAAAATACATAAATCTTTTAGTTTAGGTCTATGAACTCCCACAGACCAGAGATGTTTTAATGGTGAGAACTTAAAGCGGAGCTCCACCCAAAAGGGGAAGTTCCGCTTTAAGGACTGCT